AAATCTACATTGGATATTATAGTTCTGCATAACATTTTCCTTGAAGAAAAGACTTTATAGCTAGAAAAAAAAGTTTGAAAACCACTGAACCAAGCCTTTTATTTTATTTTATTTTTTTGGGTACCAGGGATTGAATCCAAAGGCACTTATCCACAGAGCCACATCCCATTCCTTTTTTTTTTTTTTAATGTTTTATTTTGAGACAAGGTTTTGCTAACTTGCTTTAGGGTCTCCCTAAGTTGCTGATCTGGCTTTGAACTCATGATCTTCCTGCCTCAGTGTCCTGAGCTGCTAGGATTACAGGAGTGTGCCACCATGCCCCGCTGAACCAAGCCTTTTAGTAGTCAAAAATGAACAGATCTTTTCAGATGTGCTCTTTAAGGATCATGTGGGCTGACTGTCCCCAACTTTTTTGTTTTTTGGCACTCAGAATCAATCCAGGACCCTCACACATGCTAGGCAAGCGCTGTGTCACTGACGCTCTTATGGCTGGGCTCTCTCCCCTGTTCTTTTCCAATTGCTCTTTCTGCTGACCCTCGGAACTGGAGCTGAAACATGACAAAGATACCCAGATGGCACAGTTGTAGGACAAAGGCAAACAATTCTATCCTCATCTTGTATCTGGAGTGTTTTCTCTAAGAATTGATTTACATTGTTACGTTTGGTGGCGCCCACCTGTAATCCCAGTGACTTGGGAGGCTGAGGCAGGAGGATCACTAGGTTCGAGACCAGTCTCAGCAACTTAGCAAGACCCAGTCTCAAAACTTAAAAAACAATAAAAAAGTTAGGGATTTGGGGGCTGGGGTTGTGGCTCAGTAGTATAGTGCTCACCTAGCATGCATGAGGCACTGGGTTCGATCCTCAGCACAACATAAAAATAAAATAAAGATGTTGTGTCCACCTAAAACTAAAAAAATTTTTAAAAAGGGAGGGGATGGGGCTATAGCTCAGAGGCAGAGTACTTGCCTAGCATGTATGAGGCACTGGGTTCGATCCTCAGCACCACATAAAAAAAAATCAACAAATAAAATAAAGGCATTCTATCCATCTACAACTACCAAAAAAAAAAAAAAAGTTTGGGGATTTGGTTTAGTGGTAGAGTGTCCCTGGGTTCAATCCACATTATTGCAGGAAAAAGAAAAAAAAATTAGTTCTCATTGCTGCTTTCTGTCTGATGCTGGCTTAGTGTTAAGCAGAGGTTTTCTTCATTTTTAGCTACTGGTAATGTTTGTGTGGGGAAGCAGGGTTGGGAAAAGATGGAAGACCACCAAGGAAATGTTGGAGGAACTGGAATTGGGGCTCAGTAGGAGACCAAGTAGCTTAACAACAAAGAGCAGGTCTGTAACATATGGCTGATGCTATGACTCCATTCTCAGGGCTGGGAGATCCTGGTTTCTAGGCCAAAATTCATAAGTCCTTCCCTAGTTTCTGGTGACTCAGGACACCTCATGTGTCTCTTATCTCAACATGGGCCACCCAGTGAACTTTCTAGGAAGGCCTCCCTTAACTGTAGGGCAGGGCTGGGCTGTGTTGGCCCCTATTGCCTTCTGTATATCACTGGAATATACAGGCACCTGATTGGGGTGATTAGAGGTCTTTATCTAGCTGTAAAGCCTGTTTTCTCTACCAGGCCATCTTTTTCTCCAAATTGTTTTTATCCCAGACCTCTTAGTCTTCTCCTTTAGAACACCCTCCTTCCTGAACCATTTCCAGTTTTAATATCTCTGTGTCCCTTCAGCCCTGTGACTTGAGCTATCTGAATCTGTACCTATTTATAGATTTCTTTATATAAGCCATTCTGATGTCATCAAGTTGGCTTTTAATTTCTCATTTCATCAGAAGTGAGCTTTTAGAAGGAACTAGGGGTTCTTTTTTTTATTTATTTTTTATTTGTTGTTGGTTTTTTTTTTTTTTTTCTTTGTTACTTGTTGTTTTCTTCCTTCAGGGCCTCTATTATGTTAGGTCTCCTTCCTCCTCTGCATCTCCAACCATATGCTGCCCATGATAGTAAACTAAGGATGTGGACTGATCCTATGTGAGCTGTTCATCTAGTTTAGAGGGGCTTTGGGACACACTTGGGGGCTTAAAACCTCACCAAGAAATGCTTTATAAAATAGGGTTTGCCCATTAAATGGATCAACACAGCATTTGATAAACATCAGGGTGAAAGTACAGGAAGTGACTAATCAAGAAGCCTCCCAATGGAAAAGTGTAGCAGATGGTTGCTAAAAGAAATCTGAGAAAGCCTAGAGAACAGTGTGGGTGCAAAGACTTTGAAAATGTGTGTGGGAGAAGTGTCCACTAGGTGTAGTGGCTTTAGGTCACAGTTTGTCATGTTTTAGTTTTTTTCTCTTTAAGAAGACTGGTTCCATTAAGATAAAAAATTTTAAAAATTCCAACTAACATTTACATGGTAGATACATCTATGTCACATATATTCTGAGGACTTTATGAAGCAGGTAATATTATCATCTATATTACAGATAGGAAAACCAAGGCCCAGAGAGACATAATAACTTACCCAAGGAATTGGGGTTGTGGCTCAGTTGTAGAGTGCTTGCCCAGCATCTGTGAGGCCCTGGGTTTGATCCTCAGCACCACATAAAAATAAATAAATAAATAAAGGTATTGTGTCCATCTACAACTAAAAAAAATTAAAAAACAAAACAAAACAAAAAAACCCCAAAAAACAAACAAACAAAAAATTTATTCAAGATCACACAACCTAGTAATGGTAAAGCTAGGACTCAAATCCTGGCAATCTGACACCAAAGTCCACACCCTTAACCACACTGCTGTGTTCCCTCTGGGATGTGCTATATGAAATGTATGCCTCGGGCTGGGGCTATAGCTCAGTGGTAGAGCACCTGCCTTGCATGTGTGATCCCTCAGCACCACATAAAAATAAATAAAGATATTGTGTCCATCTACAACTAAAATAATATATATATGTACATATGTATGTATATATATGTATATATATGTATGTATATATATATACATATATATATAAATGTATGCCTCATATTCAGATAAGATCATTTGTCAGCAAAAAATCTTTTTCCCTGCTGTGGGTACTAGGGATTGAACCCAGGGGCACTTTACCCCAAGTTACACCTCCAGCCTGCTTTTCTTTTCTTTTAAGACAGGATCTTGCTAAATTGCAGAGGATGGTCTCAAGTTTGAAATCTCCTGCCTTGACCTGTTGAGTTGCTGTACTCAGAAAGATCATAAATTCTTTTTTTTTCTTTCTTCCTTTTTTTTTTTTTTGTGGTACTGAGGTTTGAACCCAGGGATGCTCTACCACTTAGCCACATCCCCACCAAGGTCTTGCTAAGTTGCTGAGGCTAGCTTCCAGCTTGCAATCCTGCCTCAGCCTCCTGAATTGCTGGGATATAGGGAGGCACTACCTCGCTTGGCTTGTTATTAGAATTTTTGAGAGCCCTGTGTATCTATAAATAGAAGCATCTCTTCCTTTGGTTAAAAAGGAAGATAAAAATATCTTTTCAAGCCATGTGTAGTAGCACAGACCTGTAATACCAGCAACTTGGGAGGCTGAAACAGGAGGATCACAGGTTTGAGGCCAGCCTCTGTACTTTAGCAAGAACTTTTCTCAAAAATTATTAAGGACTGGAGATGTAGCTCAGTGGTAGGACACTCCTGATCTAGTACTAGGGTACTGCAAAAAAAAAATTAATAGCAGAATTGTTATTAATTCAAAACCTCCTATCTGCTGTGCTAAGTGCATCATGCTTTCACATTTAACCATCACAACCTCATAGATTCAGCTATGGACTCCCATTTCACAGAGGAGACTTAGGTTAAGAAATTTGCCTTACACAGCAGAACCCTGGAGACATTTTAGTGAGTTCCTGGTTGTTCCAAGATACGGCACTGGAGGAAAGAAGGAAGTTCCTGCTGCTCCTGCCACACACTTTAGCCTCCCTTCTTCCTCCCCAGGGCTGCAGGTGGAGTTCATCAACCCCATCTTTGAGTTCTCCAGAGCCATGAACGAGCTACAACTCAATGATGCTGAGTTTGCTTTGCTCATTGCCATCAGCATATTCTCTGCAGGTGTGTGGAGGGGCAGGTGGGAAACCCAGTAAGACTTGCACCCCAGAGGACTGCAGGACCTACAGGGCAGGATTGTGCGGGTGGAGCCCTTTGCTGTGATTTTGGGATGGGTGAGGTTGTGGGACACATCCAGTGATCTGGGGTAGAGGACTGAGGCCCTGGCCAGACCTGCTCCTAAACTCTGTTGGTGACCTATAGACCGGCCCAATGTGCAGGACCAGCTCCAAGTAGAGAGGCTGCAACACACATATGTGGAGGCCCTGCATGCTTACGTCTCCATCCACCACCCCCATGTGAGTTTCCCCAGGTGCCTTTTTCCTCTGCTCCATGCCTGTTCCCTGACACATCTATTTTCCCCTCAAGAATCCCTCTGCCTACATCTAGCACGGACAGTTCTCTACCTCTTCCACAACTCCCTTGCTTTTGTCCCTTTTCCTGGGGAGAAACAAAGGCTTAGCTTGTCCCTCTCCTTCCCCCAGGACCGACTAATGTTCCCACGTATGTTAATGAAACTGGTGAGCCTCCGAACCCTGAGCAGTGTCCACTCAGAGCAAGTGTTTGCGCTGCGCCTGCAGGACAAAAAGCTTCCACCACTGCTCTCTGAGATCTGGGATGTGCATGAATGACTGTTCTTCCCCATGTCTCCTGAGTTCTGGGCAGCACAGCTGAGGCCCCTTGGCTGCCTCCTGGAAGTGGAACAGATTGAGAAGGGCAAACATTCCTGGGAGTTGGGCGAAGGATATCCTCATGTAGCATTAAAGGAGAGTCAAAGGGTTGGGAGTTTTGTGGCTGCTGGGCAGTGGGGGGGCCTGCTAAAGCTGTGCTCCATCTGAAGACCTACTGACCCAACCAAATGGATGAACCTGGGGCCACTTTGCACAGAGTTCTCCAGGGCCCTGCCTCCACCACTTCCTGTTTTTCCCCACAGGGCCCCAAAAGAAATTCTCCAATGTCACTCTGTGGCTTGGCCATAAATACCTCAGGGTGGCCTCGCTGATAGGTCCCACCCTGTTTGTTGGAGGGAGATCAAGAAGCTACAGAGCAAGAGAAAACAATTTCTGAATTGGGCTTACAGCAGTGGAGGAGAAAGCCTGCATCCTTTAGGATCAACCTCCAGACTTAGAGGAGGGAGGCATGTCACAAGTAACAATCTTGGCAGTGAGGGGGACCTTCTTTTACTAGCCCCAATTATGCCATATGGGTGAATGAAATGCTGAGGCTTAGATACCCTCTCCCCAATAATAGTTATGCAGGTGGGAGCGAGTGGTCTTTCTGTGGGGGTAAGAGGAGCTGTATTTAACAGCCAATTACCTTTCACGCGTATGTGTCTAAAGCCTTAGTTTTTCCCTTGGCATCTGATAAAAAGGACGCAACCTGAAAGACCCAGGGCCAGTATCCCCTCCTTTCAGCCCCCAGGGATCTGTGGGACGGGAAGAAAAGTCCCTTGGGGCCTGGGAAGGCTGCCTAGGGTTGTGTTTGAGCGTTCAAAAGGACCGGACTCCATTTCCCAGCGGGCACCGCGGCACCGTTCTGCCCCCTTCCGTGCGTGCCTGGTGTAGGTGATACCGCGGCCGCGCCTTCCAGCCTCAAGTCCCCCCGCCACCCGGAATTGGTAGACTCACCCGGCTGGGTAGCCAGCTTTCCAGCTCAGGCGGCTGGACCCTTCCAAAACGCGAGTGGGGGTAGCAAGGTGAGGTGCGGGGAGACGGTCAGGAAGTCTCACGAGCAGTTTATCTTGAGAAGTCACTTTCAGGTCAATGAACATTTCCTTGAAATGGGCTCTATGATAATGCCTAATTAAAATCTATTTGAGCAACCTAAACAAAAGGTATTCCTTTGGATCCTCCCCTTAGCACGCAGCGGCGCTGGGCTGGCCCAGTGCTTCCCATCCCTTCCCACTCGCACACGGATAGGTGTGTGCGCAGCCTCCTTTCTTCCGAAGTCGGCTCCACCTTTCAGCGGTCGGCTTGGTGCAGCCCTGCCCCCGGGGCGAATGGTACAGCCCCAGCCCCCCTCAGCTTCCCCCTTCCGCACCGGCTCCGAGTGGTACGCGCCCCCCGGTGCGGACGCGGAACTGGAGCCCGCTCGCAGCGGCGCCTCGCGAGGTAGCGACTGACGCTCGGCTGCTGGGGGACGTCCAGCCGGCCTGGCAGGTCCCCCGAGGTTCGGGAGGTAGGACAGTCCGGGCCACTGGGGGTCCTGGACAGGCATCTGGGGACTCCTGGGGGAAGCGGGCTCTGAGAGGGACGGGCTCCGTGAAGAAAGGGTCTCTGAGGAAGGACTGAAGGAAGGTAAAGGGTCATGGATGTCCAGAGAGACTGGGGAGTCTTAGGAGGAAGGGCAGCGGCCAGAGGTGTGGGCGCTCCGGCCGCCGAGGGGGTGCGGGCTCCGGGATGAGAGCAGCTCCGCTCGGTTCCTGCCTTGCGGGCGGCGCTGGTTGCGGGGCGGGGGTAGGGAACTGTCCAGCAGGTGAGGGGGCGGGCAGAAGTGTCCAGCCCGGGTCCCAGCCGGCACTCGCGCCTGGCATGAGTGTGCTTGTGCGCGTGTGTGAGTGCGTGTGCCTTATTTCTGGTGAGGATTTGGAGAGCCACATTTGTTTCTTTAAAATAAATACATTCTCAAATATATGTGTGTATATTTTGAACTTGATGCTTCAAAATTGACTTGCTGAAGAGTAGGGAGAGTGGAGGCACCATTTAATCTCTCCTGCAACTGCTCCCCCTTTCCAGGCTCGTGCATCTCAATTCTTGCTTCTTTTCCTGCCCTCCCCTCTTCCCCAACCCTGCCTATCGCCGGCCTCATTGCTCCAGTTCTTCCTCACGCTGGACCAGTCTGTGCTGATGAGCTTGCAAGGTCACTGCCTGGGGAGGGGGAGGGGAGGAGGTGCTCACGTCAGCAAAGATGTCATATCGCCCTCGGGGTTCCTGTGGTTTTACTATGAGATCCTGCCCAAACCGAAGGACAAATCTAAACGTTTGGTTAGCGTGGCCATTTTAGGCTGAAAAGGCACGGATAACCTAAAGGATTGTGGATTCTAGATGTTGGTCATGTAGGATAGAAAGATATATGTTTTGAGTTTGATGCCTTAGGATTATATGGAGATGGGAGCTTGGTGCTCTGCCTTAGCAAATAGGGTTGAGGCAAGAGGTGGAGTCCTAGCCTATTTTGAAGATAGAGTGAGTTATAGATGGTGGTAGAAATTTTAAAGTCTGTGGAAAAGAGAGTGAGAGGAGAGAATGAGAAGAAAGCCTTTATCTTTGCAATCTGAAAAACTGAAGGTTGCTGAGATGTGGATAATCACAGATCTCAGAGCCCTTGTGGCTGAAGGAGATAAGAACTGTAGAACGTGATAATGACTTGAGTTTTTTCAAATGGTTCTCAGTGGAGAGGATCTGATATTTCACCAAGGTAGAGAGGCCCTGTGTCTAATTAGTAGTAGGAGATGTTTCAGGCCTGATGGATGAGATCTTAGCCACAAAGATCTTATGGTTTTCTATGTAAACCTATATTTCAAAGCTTAACCTAGAGTTCCAGTCCTATAAATTCTGTTTTACTTTTTTTCACTGAGTTGCTTAGGGCCTTCCTAAATTACTGAGGCTGGCTTTGAACTCGTGATCCTTCTGTCTCAGTCTCCTAAGCCGCTGGGATTACAGGCTTGTGCCACCACACCAGCTAAATTCTGTTTTACTTTAAGACACTTTGGCTTTTACTCTAAACATTTCTACACATTTCTTTATATAATGAATTGTTTTTATCCACATCCCATTTCATTTCTCCATTTCTCTGCCTTTTTCATTCTGCCTAGGAGGAGCTGAGCTCAGCTGTATAATAATGCCCCACCTTCTGGAGTATGCTCATGACTCCAGCAGTTGGGAGAACCAAAGGACTGTTTGGGGTTGTTAAACACTAGTGATTCCCAGAAATGAGTGAGTGTATGACATTCTCGGAACTTGGTGATGGGGGGATATCTCTATCAAAAGCCAGGATTGTGGAAAAGTGCAGACTAGTGGCAGACAAGGGAAAAGATAACCTAATTTTTAGCAGGTGCTGTCATGAAAGAGGTGTCTCTAGGTTTACGGAGAGTGAATTGTTATGGGCCCTGGCGGCTCTGGAGTAGCAGCTGCTAGCACTGTGCGGTCACCAAGCAGGGGAGGGGCTGTAACTCTTCTATAAATAGTGCTAGGAGCAAGAGTCACTATGGAGATAAAACTGAATCCTATTACCTGTAGGTCCTGCATTGGGAGCAAGAGAAAAAAGCAATATTTTGAGGATGTGAGGCATTGCAACTAGGTCTTGTTTATTATTAGGTAGGGGAAAAAAGATAGAACTTCTACTCATAATCTAAACCAAATAGGGCGTTAAGTAAACTGGGGGTGTGTGTGTTTCTATATGTATGGGAGTGCACACAGCAGCAGATGAAGGAGTGGTGTGTGTGTTTTGTAGTGTAATGGGATTCTCTGTGTGACTGTGTGCAGAGCAAAGGCAAAATTGTGGAGCACTGGAAATACCTTGTAGTGGAGTGAAACATTTTATTTAGAGAAGTATATGGAGACTCAACAGGAAATAACAGATAATTAGGGTCATGTAAGCTTTTCCTAATTTTCTTTTCTTTCTTTCTTTTTATTTATTTATTTTTATTTTTGGTAGCAGGGATTGACTCCAGGGGTACTTAACTACCAAGATATATCACCAGCCCTTTTTATTTTTAGTTTGAGCCAGGGTCTCACTAAGTTGCTTAGGGCTTTGTTAAGTTGCTGAGGTTGGCTTTGGTTTGGTGATCCTCCTGCCTCCTGAGCGCTGGCATTACAGGCATGTGCCATTGTGCCTGGCAACTTTTCCTAATTTTAGAACTATAGTTTAGGAATTCCTGTGAACACCCTTCCTTGAAACTGGAGAAATCCTAGCATGTCACACTTAATTCATAATTTCTATAAGATAAAGTAGAGGGCTGTGGCTGTGGCTCAGTGATAGAGCACTTGCCTGGCACATGGGAGGTGCTGGATTCGATCCTCAGCACCACATAAAAAAATAAATTAAATAAAGATGTTGTGTCCATCTACAACTAAAAATATTTTTTAAAAAAGGAGTAGAATAAGGCCTCATCTGTATGTATTGTATTACTGATTCTGATCTTGAGACCAGAATAGAGAGTAACTGCTTCAGCACCAAGGGCAGAGCCAGTAGCCATGGCCACTGGGCCCTTTTCTTGCTTGATGGGGGAGAAAAATGATTGAAATGGGGCAACTGGGGTATGGACATTCTTCATCTGTGATCACATGAGCTAGAATAGCCAGCTGTTGTTATTGTCTGAGTGCAATTAACTAGACAGTCTATATGGTAGTTTCTCATCAAGCTAAATGAGGATTGTTGAAACAGAATAATTAGGTTTCCATCTAGACCTAGAAATACAGATTAGTGCTGATTGAAGAGTCTGGTTTGATCCCAATCATCCTTGGAGCAGTCCTGAAAGTGACTTAATTTTTGTTATCATAATGACTGAGTCAGTATTACACTGCCCAGGTCTGTTTTTCAGAAACAGCCCCAGGGGCTAGACTGAAAATGAGCCACACTTGATAGTGATGGGGACAGGAGCCATTATTTCTCCTTCTCCTCCTCTTTTTTTCTTTTCTTTTTTTTTTTTTAGGTGCTGGGAATTGAACCCAGGGCCTTGGCCCCATTAGGTAAGCACTCTACCACTGAACTACATCCCCAGCTCCTTATCCTACTAGTCATTTGACTCTGTGAACTCATAAGCCTAGACACTAGGCTAGACAAGTGTCAAGTTCTTCTGTCTTTAGTACTAAAGTGGAAATTCTTCTGACCTGTGCTCCTGATTGGGATGAAGTTGCCAGAGGGATGATTCACTCAGGCACAGCAATGAAATCTTATCAGTCCTTTTTTCCTATTAGACTTGGATTATCAGATAATAACAGAATTCTTCCTGGGAATGAGTCTCCTTGCTTGGTGCCCTGAAGTTTCTCTGAGATGAACTGATGAATTGGAACCATGGTGCAAAAGAAGAAGTTCTGTCCCCGGTTACTTGACTATCTAGTGATCGTAGGGGCCAGGTAACCAAGAAGAGATATCTTTGTTTTGTCATGTGGGATAGCCACAAAATATGCAATTCTTCTTCTCTGTTTCCGTGTTGCTTTGCATATCTCAGTTTTTCCTTTTATTTTACCCTTATGGGAGCATTGATGCCCACAGGGAAAACAACACATTGGGTAGATCCAGAGTGTTGGTCTGGACAGAAACAGAGCAAAACTCTGTTCTTAATTAGCATCTTTGTGATTTTGAGCAAATATAATTTTTTTATATCTTAATTTTCTTATTTTATAAAAATCAAAAGTACATTGCACTCCTAATCTACCTACATATACTCTTTTGGTAATTCATTAGCTAATACTCTTTGAAAGATGTTGTCATAGGTGTTAGTGATCATTTTATTATTGAAAGTTTTTTTCAGGATAGGTGTATGTCTTCATGACAGTGCAGACTACATTCAGCCTGCCAGCTAATGTTTTCCAAGGTCCTACAGTTGGGTTACTTTATCCACAAGGACATTCTGAGCTTTATTTGTTGACTGTGGTTAAAATTTGATAGCATCTTCTATCTCTTCAGGCTGCTGAGTTTGTCTTTATATTCTTCAGGCACCCGAGCAGTGACAGTGTGGCCCAGACTCCTGAATTGCTACGGCGATACCCGCTAGAGGACCACCCTGAGTTTCCCCTGCCTCCAGATGTAGTGTTCTTCTGCCAGCCAGAGGGCTGTCTGAGTGTGCGGCAGCGGCGCATGAGCCTTCGGGATGATACCTCCTTTGTCTTCACCCTCACTGACAAGGACACTGGTGTCACACGTTATGGCATCTGTGTTAATTTCTACCGCTCCTTCCAAAAGCGAATGCCTAAGGAAAAGGGGGAAGGCGGGGCAGGGTCCCGTGGGAAGGAAGGGACTGGTACCACCTGTGCCTCAGAAGAGGTTGGCACAGAAAGCTCAGAGAGTGGCTCATCCCTGCAGCCTCCTAGTGCTGACTCCACCCCCGATGTGAACCAGTCTCCTCGGGGCAAACGCCGGGCCAAGGCAGGCAGCAGGTCCCGCAACAGTACTCTGACATCCCTGTGTGTGCTCAGCCACTACCCTTTCTTCTCCACCTTTCGAGAGTGTCTGTATACCCTCAAACGGCTGGTGGACTGCTGTAGCGAACGGCTGCTGGGCAAGAAATTGGGCATCCCTCGAGGTGTACAAAGGTACAGTTTGCTGCTCATGCTCGGAAGAGGGGGAAGCGGTTAGAGGTTAGTTATAATTGGTCTGTGAGGGGCGTGGGAAATTTCCTATGCAGGCGCTTTAAACCTATTTAAACACATTAGCCCTTAACTAAGCAGAAGACAGCTGCCGAGCTGAACCTCCTATCATAATTGGGCTTGGAATAATACCGAGGAGTTTGATGTTTTATGGTGGGCATGTCATTAAGTCCTACTACCTATGCATTTTACAGTTGTTCTTGCCCTTATGTAAATAGCTTCTGGTCCCAATGGAGCTCAAAGAGTGGGATTTCCTAATGGTAGTCCTTTTCCAATTGTCATTATACCCTCCATAGTTATATTGGGTTGCAGTGAAGTATCAGCTCCTAATGCTTATGTCTGACAGCTGCTGTGTGCTCCTTAGGGACACCATGTGGCGTATCTTTACTGGATCACTGCTAGTGGAAGAGAAGTCAAGTGCCCTTCTGCATGACCTTCGAGAGATCGAGGCCTGGATTTATCGATTGCTGCGCTCCCCAGTACCTGTCTCTGGGCAGAAGCGAGTAGACATTGAAGTCCTTCCCCAGGAGCTCCAGCCAGCTTTGACCTTTGCTCTTCCAGACCCTTCTCGATTCACCCTAGTGGATTTCCCTCTGCACCTTCCCTTGGAACTTCTGGGTGTAGATGCTTGTCTTCAGGTGCTAACCTGCATCCTGTTGGAGCACAAGGTGAGAGGGCCAGCTGCACAGACTTTCTAGGGAAAGCTTGACACTGTGGCAGAGGCTAGACAATGAGCTCTTTGAGGACAGGGACTGACATTTTCATCTTTTCATGTCCAGGAATAACAATGCCAGATGTATGGCAGGTATTCATTAGATACAGGTTGAATTAAGGTACTGGTATCATGTAGGGTGTTTTCAGAGGCTTGTCACTCAGTTGAATTATCCTTAATTACACTGACTTAATTCTCAGGAGATATCAGTAGTCCTGTTCCACTTTTGGGATAGGGAGGGAGCAAAAGAACTAGGAAGGTAATGATTCAAGTGAAGATTTCTTCAGTGCTTAGTTAGGGAGGTGGCAGACATGGTAGCACATGGGACAGAGATGATTCTGGAAGCTAAGCTGCAGCTATAGACATGGTGAGAGAATTAAATTGTAGTGTTGAAAGCTGTTTTCTTGTCAACCTGATTTTATGCTGTTGAGTGACTCTTCTGGTGTGGCTGTTGCAGGTGGTGCTACAGTCCCGAGACTACAATGCACTCTCCATGTCTGTGATGGCATTTGTGGCAATGATCTACCCCCTAGAGTATATGTTTCCTGTCATCCCACTGCTTCCCACCTGCATGGCATCGGCAGAGCAGGTGAGTCTGAAGGTGTCTTCTAGCTTTGTAACCTGTACCTTTATAAGGGATCAGGCTCAATGCCCAGAGAAGCTATTAGTCAATACTTGTCCTCAATCCCTTATAATTTATTTGTCTATGACTGATGGATTTAAACTGACTTAGTGACAAAATCTATGCTATTTATAATTTCTTTATTTCTTTTCTTTAAAATCAGAGTTAAAGGCTGGGGGTGTAGCTCAGTGGTAGAGCACTTGTCTAGCATGCACAAGGCCCTGTATTTGATCCCAAGTACTGCAAAAAAGAAAAAATTCCATAATCCCAGTTAATGATTGTAGACTACTTGCTACACTGCTGTAGATATTACATAATATACAGAAAATATGTTGTCTTGCCTTTCTAAAATCTGAAAAGTTCTGAATTTTAAAATACAACTAGCTTAAGGGGTTTTTTATTTTTAATTTTTTAGATGTTGGTGAACCTTTATTTTATTCATTTATTTATATGCGGTGCTGAGAATTGAACCCAGTGCCTCACACATGCTAAGCAAGCGCTCTACCACTGAGTCACAACCCCAGACCAGCTTAAGGGTTTTGAAAACAGGATTTTGAGTCTATATTTCCTTATCTAGAAAAATCCTGACTTGATAAGTGCTTATAATAGGTTTTGAACTTTGTTTCTTATCTTCTTATCCTTTCTACAGCTGCTGTTGGCCCCAACCCCCTACATCATTGGGGTCCCTGCCAGCTTCTTCCTCTACAAACTAGACTTCAAAATGCCTGATGACGTATGGCTAGTGGATCTGGACAGCAATAGGGTAAGGTTCTGGCTAAGGCATCGTAGAGTAAGATTATGTTCTAGACCCAATCCTGTGATACCCGTTTTTCTAGGTGTTTCTGTTGTGATACTCGTTAAAACAACTTTTACACATGCTGCTTTTATTTATTGTCAGGATAGGCCCATGGTTAGGTTTAAAGGATTTAGTTTTGCCAGAATTAAGTGCTCTTCCAGCATTCTTTAAGAGCAGTAGGACAGTTGTTTTTTTTTTTTGGTAGTTGTAGATGGACAGCATGCCTTTATTTTATTTGTTTATCTTTATGTGGTGCTGGAGATTGAACCCAGTGCCTCACACGTGCTCGGCAAGCGCTCTGCCACTGAGATAGAGCCCTGGCCCAGGACAGTTACTTTTATGGTATCATTATATGGTGTAGATCTCCTGATGCTTTTCCTGGGATATGGTTTCCAGTAAGAAATGGCCCTTTCAGGGCAGACTTAAAAAAACATTATATTTACATCTTGCAGCATGAGTACATTAAAACTTTAGAAAAACTTTATAAGTGTTCATTGGAAAACAAAAATACATGAAGAGAAAAAAATAAGAACTGTAACCTTATTATCTAGTCACCAATAACATTTAGGTATATATTTTTTTCAGATGTGTGTGTGTGTGTGTGTAACATGTGATAATATTATACACATAAAATCTTCCTATTATCTTCTTTACCCTTATGGAAGTGAAACTTCTGATTAGTTATTCTAAGGTCTTGCTTTTATCTTTTCTCTGGTACAGGTGATCGCCCCAACTAATGCAGAATTGCTCCCCATCCTGCCAGAGCCAGAATCATTAGAGCTGAAAAAACATTTAAAGCAGGTAGGTGAAGAGTGAATGAAAGGAAAGGGAGTAATAGATGCCCTGGGGTTGCTGTAGGAAGGCAGCTATTCTAAGACCCTGTTTCATTTTAGACTTTACAAAGTAGATTTTCTTTGCCTCTGTTGGGTTCAAGAAGAGGTATATCCAATTTTGCGTGGCAGGGGTGAATCTCAAAAGGATTCCTTCTAATTTGTTGTATGCCTTGTCACTGTATGATGCTGTATAAAATGATTTTTACTTTCTATTTCTTGTCATGTCTGCCATTCTTTATGGCCTTGGAGCATTCTCTGAATTTTCTAAGATGGGAGTTTGCAGTTTGGACCATCAGGCTTGGACCGTTGGGCTCCTTTTATACTGTCTCCTTGAATTGATCCTATAGTCCCTATAGAATCCTTTCCTGAAAAATTCCTTTTTTGGAGGGGAGTGTGGTGATGCATACCTGTAATTCTAGCAACTCAGGAGGCTAAGGCAGAAGGACTATAAGTCAAGGCCAGTCTTAGCAACTTAGTGAGTCCCTGTCTCAAAATAGGAAAAAATTAAAAAATGTTCTGAGATGTAGCTGAGTGGTAAATCACCCCTGGATTCAATCTCCAGCACCCCTTCCCCCTCCAAAAAATCCTTTTTTGAGTAATCCCTTACATCTGTTTTTCATTGGTTCATTTTCTTCTCCTCCTTCTGCATGCCAAACAGTACCTGGAGGTAAAACACAATAAGGCTACATTCCCTTCCCCTGCTGTATGTGTTATATAGGACAAGCAGTAGCTAGCACTGTGTTTATTTTTATTAATCCCACTCTCTTTTGAAAGGTCTTTAGAAATCTTTTTTTCCTGTGTTGTCTGAAGTACTCAGTAGTTTCTCTAGATGGTATATGTTTGAGTTTAAATGGGTCATTTTGTATCCTTGTCACTCTCCCTTGCTTCATCACTGCTCATGTAATATGATACCTTGCTGCAGAGTCTGGTAGGATTGCAAGTTCAGAAACTTCTAGCTGTCTTCATTTACTGTGTTTTCATTATTGATAATTGCTTAAGTATGACTGATGAGATGGAGAAGTTGATATAAGAAATTATGTCAGTTTATTACTTTAAATGTTTATAGGAACTAAGATCCTTGAGCTCATTGATTTTTGTATTCTGACCACTGCTTCTCAAAAGTGTGGTCCATGGACCGTAGCATTAGCATCGCCTGTAAACCCAGTTACTTGGGAAGCTGAAGCAGAAGAATCACAAGTTGGAGGCCAGCCTGGGCAACTTAGCAAAATCCTGTTTCGAAACAAAAAATAAAAAGGGCTGGGATGTAGTTCAGTGATAAAGCACACCTAGGTTCAATCCCTAGTACTGAAAACAAAACAAAACCTCAGAACCATCCCAAACATACAAAATTAGAATCTGCATTTTTAACAACATCCTAGGTGATTCCTGTGCTCACTAACTTTTAAAAAGCATTATTGATCTAGACCAGTGGTTTTCAAATTGCCCCATGGAGCCTCCTAGGGGCTGATTTCAACTGGGTACACTGAATACATGAAGCTCTGGTTCCTCCAGAGAAACTGTTTTTAAATTTCAGTTATGTTTCCATATAGATTTCAATTTGAAAAACTGTTCATTAAAAAATAAAAATAGAAAACTATTGTCAGATTTGATCAAGTTGTCTTGAGCTAGGTTGATTAAGAGCAATATTCAGGCTTAATAATTCAGGCAGTATTATAAAGGCTAAAATATTTGGAATCTTTTTTCAAAGATGAAGGCTATGAAATGAATTGGCTGTGATTTGCAGAGCACAGTTCTCTGTTGAGAACTTTTTGGTCAGAAAGTGTGATGTAGAAGACTTTAAGAATGCTCTTTCCTAGAGTTAAGATTGGCTAACTGCCCAGATACCTTATATGAGGAGTTTTTTGTTGTTCCTCAGGCCCTAGCCAGCATGAGTCTCAATACCCAGCCCATCCTCAATCTGGAAAAATTTCATGAAGGCCAGGAGATCCCACTTCTCTTGGGAAGGCCTTCTAATGACCTGCAGTCCACACCTTCCACTGAATTCAACCCGCTCATCTATGGCAATGATGTGGATTCAGTGGATGTTGCAACCAGGTAAGACCAAGCAAACTAAAGAAATCCTGAGTTCTTAAATTGGTTTCTTTGCTCCCTTGGGTTTGGGGCTAGCTACTTCCCATAGCCAGAGTTTCTTTATGTATAAAATGTGTTTGATATTTTGTTATATTTTCCACCTTAGCAAAAGCAAAGAGAATAGTTTATCACCTTTTTAGGATAAAGAAAAAGACCACAGGGCATGATGGCACATGCCTATAATATAGTAACTCCGGAGGCTGAGGCAGGAGGATTGCAAGTTCAGAGCCAGCTTCAGCAACTTAGCAAGACCCTATCTCAAAATAGACAGACAAATAAATAAGGGGCTGGGGATGTACCTCAGTGGTTAAGCACCCCCTGGGTTCCATCCCTGGTACCAAAAAGAGAGAGAGAGAAAGAAGAAGACCAATGATTCTCTAAATCTCTTCCAAGCTAGGCTTGATGACGTACACCTATAATTCCAGTGGCTTGGGAGGCTGAGGTTGGAGGATCATGAATTTAAGGCCAGGCTGGGCAATTTAACAAGACCCTGTCTCAAAATAAAAAATAGAAAAAAAGGGCTGGGGATGTGGCTTAATGGTAGGCCCCTTGTTCAATCCCTGTAAGGCAAAGTGGAACAAAACAAAACAAAAAATAGATGAAAGATATCTCTCCCTTGGATGTTGGAAATCTGTTGAAGAATGGCTTTGGGAGGTGGTTAACACTGTGAATTGTGGAGTCCTCACTTTACAGGGTATGGTTGGTTCTCAGCTTATCTCAGCGTCATCTTCTTCCCCAGAGTGGCCATGGTACGGTTCTTCAACTCTGCCAACATGCTGCAGGGCTTTCAGATGCACACCCGCACCCTGAGACTATTTCCTCGGCCTGTGGTAGCTTTCCAAGCTGGTTCCTTTTTAGCCTCACGTCCCAGGCAGACTCCCTTTGCTGAGAAACTGGCCAGGACTCAGGCTGTGGAGTACTTTGGAGAATGGATCCTAAACCCCACCAATTACGCCTTTCAGCGAATTCACAACAGTGAGTTCACCTGCCCTCTGTTCTGCTCCACCTTCTATCTTTGAGCTCCTGATGGCCCTTCCTTTAGCTTGTTCTATACTAATCTTTACCTGTCCCTTCCATTCCTGTTTTTTTTTTTTTAGGTGGGAGGTCCCAGGGATTGAACTCAGGGGCACTGGACCACTGAGCCACATCCCCATCCCTATTTTGTATTTTATTTAGAGACAGGGTCTCATTGAGTTGCTTAGCACCTCAATTTTCCTGAGGCTGGCTTTGAACTCATGATCCTCCTGTCTTAGCCTCCTGAGCTGCTGGGATTACAGGCATACACCACCGTGCTTGGCTCCATTCTTGGCTTTTTTTTTTAAATATTTATTTTTTAGTTGTAGTCGGACACAATACCTTTATTTTATTTATTTATTTTTATGTGGTGCTAAGGATCGAACCCAGGGCCCCATACATGCTAGGCGAGCGCTCTACCGCTGAGCCACAACCCCAGCCCTCCATTCTTGTTTTTGTTTTAGACTTTTTCCTTTTTTGTGTGTTTACTTGCCTTTTACCCCTTGCTCCCAACTATTCTTTTTCTTCCTTGGGTAGATATGTTTGATCCAGCCCTGATTGGTGACAAGCCAAAGTGGTATGCCCACCAGCTGCAGCCCATCCACTATCGAGTCTATGATAGCAACTCCCAGCTGGCTGAGGCACTGACTGTACCACCAGAGCGTGACTCTGACTCTGACCCCACTGATGACAGGTGAGCAGTCCCTCTTATTAGCCCTTCTCCACAGCACATAGTGGGAGGCAAAACCTCTTAGGAGTTAGGAGTCAAGTCTTCGAAGCCTGGTATTTTATTTTGGTTGATTGTTTTTCTTGGCTTCTTTATTTTATCTTATTCCTGAACTTGAGTTAAAGTGTGCTCCATTTTTGTTTTTCCAAGTTTTGATTGCAGATTTTTTTTCCCCTCTCTTTTTCTGGTTTTGTTTGTTTGTTTCTTTTTCTTTTTCTAATGCCCTTCACTCTGCAGTGGCAGCGATAGTATGGATTATGATGACTCAAGCTCTTCTTACTCCTCCCTGGGTGACTTTGTCAGTGAAATGATGAAATGTGACATCAATGGTGATACTCCCAGTAAGTGTGCTTTGGTGAGATTGGCCTGCTCTAAACAGGGGTTAGGCTTGGGGATGAGATGATCTATACCTGTCTCCCTTGGGTTCTGGCAGATGTGGACCCTCTGACGCATGCAGCACTTGGGGATGCCAGTGAGGTGGAGATTGATGACCTGCAGAACCAAAAGGAATCAGAGGAGCCTGGCCCAGACAGTGAGAACTCTCAGGAAAACCCCCCAGAACGCTCCAGCTCCAGCACCACTGCCTGTAGCAGCCCTAGCACCGTCGTCCATGGAGCCAGCTCTGTACGTGAGCACGAGGAGGGGTGGGTGGATGAGAACCGTGGGTGGGAGTGTGGGCCTTGTCTCTGTTAGAAAGGTCATGCTATAGCTGTGAATTTGCCTTTCCTCACACTACCCATCTTCCTCTTCTGAGGCCCTATGACTTTAGAGCCTCTGAGATATAGTTTTGACCCCAGAGGGAGGTCACTGGGCTTTGTTCAGGGTGCAGCAAAGATGCTCGTGGTACAGTTTATGGGGACAGGGAACGGGGTGCCACAGAGATTTTTTTCCCACACATTTTATAGGCTGGGAATGGGATAGATCTGGCCTGGCCCTGCCAGACTAAGAATAAGGGAAGGCATCATTAGGCACCATGTGACCATATTTTTAAATTTAATATGGCCCTTAGGAACCTGCTGAGTCTACAGAGATGGATGATAAGGCAGCAGTAGATGTCTCCAAGCCCCTCCCTACCGTGCCTCCCAGCATTGGCAAATTGAATACGGACAGACGCCAGACAGAGATTGGAGAGGGGTCAGTGCGCCGGCGAACCTATGACAATCCATACTTCGAGCCCCAGTATGGCTTTCCCCCTGAGGAAGATGATGATGAGCAGGGGGAAAGTTACACTCCCCGATTCAGCCAACATGTCAATGGCAATCGGTGAGAGCCTGGGGATTCCTTCTAGATGGGTGACTGAAGGACCTCACTCCAGTGGACCCTGGGCAAGGGTTAATCAGAGAGTCTGAGAGTCTAAATGCTCTCATGGTTCTGCCATCCCTAAAGGGTGGTTCTTTGATCTAGGGGCTTAGCTGTGGGAAGGAAGCAGTGACTGCAGTGTAGTGTAAGGACCACACTCCCAAGATCAGGTACCGCTGCCTGGGGCTCATAGGTGCCGCTGTGCATTCAAGGGCTCAAAAGCTGCTGCGGCCCAACAGCTTGAAACTGGCAAGTGACTCCGAAGCAGAGTCAGACTCCCGAGCAAGCTCCCCCAACTCCACCATCTCCAACAACAGCACCGAGGGCTTCGGGGGCATCATGTCTTTTGCCAGTAAGTGCCTTAAGCTCTCTCATTGCTCTCTTCCTTTTTTCTCTATGGTAGGGTCTAACTATGGCAGATGTGTCTTAGAACTTGAGATGTGGGCTGGGTTGGCATTACCAGGCTCTAATGCAGATTATTTGGGTAATACTAAATAAAGTACTTTTAGATGACATAGTAAAAATGTGGGTGCAGTGGTACAAACTTGTAATCCCAGCTACTCGGGAAGCCGGTAGGTTCTATCTAGTCCAGCCTGGGCAACTTAGCAAGTCACTTCTTCAAAATAAAGACAGTAGGGTTGGGGTTGTGGCTCAGAGGTAGAGCTGTCACCTAGCATGCATGAGGCACTGGGTTCGATCCTCAGCACCACATTAATAAAATAAAATAAAATAGAGGTATTGTGTCCACCTTAAAAATATTAAAAATTATCTTTAAAAAATAAATAAAATTAAAAAAAATAAAGAGAGTAGCTCAGTGGTAGAACTCTTGCCTAGCATGTGCAAGGCCCCAGGTTCAATCTCCAATACCTGGGAGGAAAAAAAAAAAGACTAGTCATTATTTTGTTATACCTGGAAGTTTAGTTTTATTTCAGGCAAGACAGATGAGTGGTCAACCATAAATTAAGCACTAAATTCAAAATCAGCTGGGCGAGGTAGGGCACACCTATAATGCCAGCAGCTCTGGAGGCTGAGACAGGATGATTGCGAGTTCAAGCCAGCCTCAGCAATGGCAAGGGGATAAGCAACTCAGTGGAGACCCTGTCTCTAAATAAAATACAAAATAGGACTGGGGATGTGGCTCAGTAGTTGAGTGCCCCGAGTTCAATCCCAGATACCAGAAAAAAAAAAAAAATTCAAAATCATATACTTACTTGTATACTTATGGGAATATTCTGGTCAATATTGCTTCAGATATATATTTGATACCTTCTTTGCCTGGTGAGGGCCTTTTGTGAACATGCTTTGAAATCTATACAGGATTGATTTTTTTTTTTTTTTTTGTGGTGCTGGGATTAAACCCAGGGCCTTATGCATGTGAGACAAGCACTCTACCAACTGAGGCATTTCCCCAGCTCCGGGATTGATTTTTGATTTTTGTACTTAAAGAATTTCTAGCAATGATGGGTGGTATCATTTAAAGATTAGAGATAGACCTCTAGACTAAGGACTTCAGGGAGTCAACAGAGAGATAGTTGTGATTTTGTGAGTTTTTTCAGATGCCAGGGAGGAGCTGCACCCACTTCAGACCAGAAGCATATTAACTACCAGTTTTCATGCTGATAGAAGTAGATGAGAAACACGGATATTGTGGGAGGTAGCCAGAGAAGGTTGTACTGGGTTTTGAGCATTCCTGGCAATGGCTCCTTTGTGTGCCCTAAGTTAGACTTGGTGCCTTCTGGATAGTGTAGGTTGTCTGATCTAGCACACTGGGATGCTGCCTGAAAGGAGAGACGAAGACGGTGCTGCAGTCACTGGAGGAGATGCTTTGATTGTTCGTCCTGCTAACTCATTGCTCTCACCCTCTCCACCCTCATAGGCAGCCTGTATCGGAACCACAGTACAAGTTTCAGCCTTTCAAACCTCACACTGCCCACCAAAGGTGCCCGAGAGAAGACCACACCATTCCCCAGTCTGAAAGGTAACTACAACTTTCTTTTGCCAAACTAGGTTACTCTGGAAGGTGTGTCAGGCCTATGGGTGCTTGTCAGGAGCCCTGTGTACCGTGTATCATTGGATTTGGCTGTTGCCCTTCATATTGCTTCTCATGGCTCTCACTGCACATCATGGGCTCTCGATGGTTGTCATATGGAGACTGTATCTGTAGCTAGAAAAGGCCCTGTTACATTATTGAGGATAGTGGCAATTGTGGGATTACTGTCGCTCTTGGCAGGGAACCTTGTCAAAGATACACAACTAACATAGGGATCATCAGCTGCCCCTAGTCAAGGGCAGATTCCCACTGTGTGAATTTAGGATGAACTCCATCCCAAGGAACTGGCCCACAGAAGGATGGCTGCGGAGATCCTGGCAGTGTTTATGGTGTCCAGCCTTTTACTATGGCTTCATGTCAACCTGGAGGCTGTGAGTGGGCCAGGTAGTATTAATTGGCTTCTGGACCCCGTTAAGACCTTGTTTCAGTTCACTTGTGATCTCTGGCAGTTTGAGAGGCTCTTCTGAATTTAATTTTATTTTCTTTTGTTTTCTCTGGATATTGTGCTGAAAGATTTAATCCTGATAGGAAGTATTGTGAGAAGCAACTCCTTATATTAACTGACTTCTCACTCCCAGGGTTTAAAAAGATCAGGAGTCTTTGGTGATGATGGGAAAATGCCATATGTGGGCAAAAATGACTTCAGAGTGGTAGTGTTGAGAACTCACTAGCGCTGCTCCCGTGTATCCATACACAGCTGGGTAGGTTAGAGGTGGAAAGGTGTTAGTGTTGCTGGCTTTCCATTTGATACATTTGAGGGGAAGAGCAATTGGAACTCTCATTTGCATGTTGATGCTTCGTCTCATTTGCTGCACTTATCTCTCCTACCAATTTCCCATCCTCACAGTCCTGCCCCACTTCCCATGATAGCATCAGCAAGATGAGTCTCTCCCCTGTGGATGCCCACAGGCTCTCTGGACCCCTGTGCTAGATGTTTCATGAAAACCAGTGGCCCTTCTTTCATGCATGTGCCTGTTCAGCACCTCAGGCTCTCCATATCATTTACCCCAGCCCTGGCTTTGAGAGTTTTCCCTTTAAGGATGGTCTTCCATAGAGCCTTGGTTGTCTCCTGGTCACTTGGCTTCCAGCTCTGATGTGCCCACTATTTAAGCTCTGGGAGAATGCTTGGATAATCTGACTTACTCTCCATCGATGGGTACAAGGGGATGCGGTATTGTGGTGCACCTACTAATTGTGTATTTTGTGTCCCAGTATTTGGGCTAAATACTCTAATGGAGATTGTTACTGAAGCCGGCCCCGGGAGTGGTGAAGGTGGGTCTTGCCCGTGAGCTGTGCATGATCTTTTTTTTCCTAGCATCTTCTGTGCCTGCCTGAGGGCCATCCTCCTCATGAAGCAAGAGGCATCACATGAGTGACCTGCCTTGTCTATCCCCCATGACACCCATGCTGCCCACAGGGCATGCTGCTGGTGCATGTGGAGTGGCCTGAGTCTCCATCCCCACCTCCTTCACATTGCCATGGCTGCTTTCTGCCTGTGTGTGATGCCCTGGTGCCACTCCCACCCAGCCCTGCTGGGGAATGGGCATGGAACATGGCGACCCAGGGTTGTGCTACTGTGGGTTTCTGGACTATGACAGTAATGTCTCTCATTCTGCCTTCCCTGCTTATAGGAAACAGGAGGGCATTAGTGGACCAAAAGTCATCTGTCATTAAACACAGTCCAACAGTGAAAAGAGAACCTCCATCACCCCAGGGCCGATCCAGCAATTCTAGGTAATAAATGCAGAGCTGTTTTAAAAATTCTCAGGTGGAGATAGATTCCTGTATAAAGCTTGAAGGATGCTCAGGATTGGGAAAGAAGCTCTAAGGATGGTAAATGAAATCAGTTTCTTGCCTGATTTCCACTTCTGATCCAATCCACTGCAGCAGTAACAGTTTGCAGTGTTGAAGAGGGTGAAATTGCTGAGGTGGGACTTGGCAAACCAGGTTATCTGCAGAGTTGGGGGATGTGGAGGCTGATGATATTCAGAGACTTGGCTTTGCATTTTGCCCCGGGAGACAAATATATGGTCTGGTGAAAGGGGAAATGCTCTCCCGAGAAGCTGATAACCACAAAAGTGGTGTGTGGACCCTATAGTGAGAACCAGCAATTCCTGAAGGAGGTGGTACACAGTGTGCTGGACGGCCAGGGAGTGGGCTGGCTCAACATGAAAAAGGTACGCCGGCTGCTGGAGAGCGAGCAGCTGCGAGTCTTTGTCCTGAGCAAGCTGAACCGCACCGTGCAGTCAGAAGATGATGCTCGGCAGGACATCATCCCAGATGTGGTCAGTGTTTGGGCTAGGGGGTCGGAATCGACTGAGCAGAGGGCTGTGGCTGCCAAAGGGAATTTGCTAATTCTAGGACCTGGGTTGTCGTTGCAGGAGATCAGTCGAAAAGTGTACAAGGGAATGTTAGATCTCCTCAAGTGCACAGTCCTCAGCCTGGAGCAGTCTTATGCCCATGCAGGTCTGGGTGGCATGGCCAGCATCTTTGGCCTTCTGGAAATTGCCCAGACCCACTACTATAGTAAAGGTAGGGATCGTACCTGCTGGGCAACATGCCCTCTGCAACTGCCCCACTTGTCAGAAAGAGTCAGCACATTGTTCCCATGGCAAGTTTCCCAGTGCCTTGCTGCTTCCCATCAGGTCCTGGGGTTTTATTTTCTAGTGCATGTTTCTATGTAGTGGGTATTTAGAAAAATAAGGTCTTAGCTTTTCTTTCCTTGAACTTCTTCTATTCCACATCCTCCCATATCCTGGCTTCTCCTACCTCATTTCCCTGCCTCTATTCCCATTCGCTTCCTTTTTTGACCTCTTTCTGTATTTGATCTCTTCTCAGAACCAGACAAGCGGAAGAGAAGTCCAACAGAAAGTGTAAATACCCCAGTTGGCAAGGATCCTGGTCTGGCTGGGCGGGGGGACCCAAAGGCTATGGCACAACTGAGAGTCCCCCAGCTGGGACCTCGGGTACCAAGTGCTACAGGAAAGGGTCCTAAGGAAGTGGACACTAGAAGTTTAAAGGAAGAGAATTTTGTAGCCTCTATCGGTACGTATCATGGTGTCTGGTGTGCTGAGGGGTTCTGGCTTCTTAAATATTCCTCCGTCCTTTCCATCCGTCCAGAATCCTGCCTTTCTCTTCCCCATGCTTTGCTTTCTAAAGAGGGAGATAAGTCTATTTCCAGTGCATTTCTCTATGCTTCTCTATCCCTTATGCCTTGTCTGTAGCCACCCCACTGACATCTCAGAGGAAGAACAGAGGTTTTGTTTAGAGTCCCTGTGAGGCTTAGTGCAGGGAGTCTGAGCTACACTCCTGGTCCCTCTTTTTATTTACATCTAAATTCTTCATATAGCAAAGAGACCATGTGAATTCCTAGAGGCTAGAAGGAAGCTTATAGATATGTCTTTGGGCTATAAAACTATGGTCATCTGGGTCTCTGAAGCCAATTTTCCCCCATCCAAAGCATTACACTGCCCTGGAATTCGCGCCTCTGCAGCCTGTCCAGTGACTCTGTTTCCCTGGGTTCTAGACCTCAGAGGTATATATTTCTGTGTCAGCTCTTCTTTAAACCCTTCCTTTCCTGGACTTCATTAAAAGCTTTCTCCTGTTTGATAGTTTTCCATTCACTCTCTGGTATCACCATTGTTTGGCTCACTCCCTACTTCACCTTGCATCATCCAGGCTGTGTCTTTTCTGGTTCTAGGTGCCTGGGCATTATGCTTCCAGCTGATGCCTCTTTGCCACAACCGTTAGTGATTGGCACTATGTCTGCATAAATGGTAATGAGGAGCCGTTTCCCTTTTCAGAGAGCTCCTTTCACTAGCCCGATAACTTTCTCCTAGAGGCATTCAGTCCTGGCTTTCTCCTGCCTGGTGTGATGTTCTAGAAAAAGTACCTACCTGCCTGTCTAGAGGTCTGGAGTTTTAGTCCTGTATCATCCACCAACTAGGAATGAGACTTTGGGCAAATAACTTCCCTCACAGGGGCTCTCTCTCCTCCTTTAGGAAATGAGAAGGTCACACTAAGTAAACCCTGAAGTTCCTTCCAGGGACACAACTGTACCAATTGGTGTTGTTTCTGCTTTGCCCTACTGAGACACTTGTCTCACTATTTTGTCTTCTCTATCAGAGGCATTTCCCTCAAGGACTGGCTAAGAATGGGTCTCTTGGTAGGGCAGGCTCTAGTTCTGATGGGGAGTTTGTTTTTTGGGTAGCAAGAAGGAGGGATGCTGACTGCCTGCATGAGTTGGCCTCTGTCCAATCCAGTGAGTCAAACAGATGGGTGCTGCTGCTTCTCAACCCCTTTGACTGCTTGAGATGATCATCTCTCTTATCTGTTGTCTGTAAGAGCTGCTGTTCTCAGCTTGTTTGGCAGAGAACGTGGTGTGATGGAAGTCAAACTGATCCTAAATTATGCGCTCTCGAGCACATGTTTCAGACTCTTTAGGATCCGTTTCCTCATGCCAAAATGAAGGAGCTTGATGAAGGGCCCTTCAGCTCGAATATTGTACAGGGTTTTTGTTGGCACATTGGGGTTAGTTTTAGAAAGTTGATGTCTTTTTTCTTGAATTTGGGGAAGGCATTGGAATCTCTTGATTCTTCCTCCCTGCCCCCAAATAAAAATACTTTGTATCTCTTGATTGGTAATCCTGTGCCTGAGACTGAAGCAACTTGGGTGGGTGGGTTTCCATTTCGTCATCTGACCAGCCTCTGACTCTCTCTGTCTTTCTCTCCTGCTTGCATTGCATCTGGGGTAGAATTGTGGAACAAGCACCAGGAAGTGAAAAAGCAAAAAGCTTTGGAAAAACAGAGTAAGGAACAAATGCCCCTTCCTGTCCTTAAGTCTCCCATACCTGCCAACTTCCCAGGCCCAGTTGGGGCAGGCTCCCTTTGTCAGCCCCACCCCAAATTTACTCTTGGGGGGTATTGGACTGAAAGCAGGTAGGTGGTGTGTGACTCCGAGGTATATGGCTTGTAGACTGCTTCTTGCCCCTCCCCTTGTAGCTAGCAGTGAGGGTGTCGACTGAGTAAAATCCCTTAGATTGGTTTTCTACTGTGGCAGAGTTGGTGGGGAGAACCTTTGCTGATTGCAGAGTCCCTCATTGGCTGATAGCTCCCTCACCGTTAGGAGGCCTGTGGGCACAGTTGGCAGAGATGGTTGCTGTCCCTCTGTGTTGAGTCTGTAGCTGCCCACCTCTCCCTCTGGTGGCTTGCCTAGGCACGCTTTCTGGCTTTCTGTCATTCTGTCTTTCTGCCATACCATTGTGGGTGGGTGGGGTAGAATGGGATTTTTTTTCCTCAAATGTAGGCATTATAGGATGGGGGTAGGTGAGTGTTCCTCTCTCTTTTAGCCTAACCTTTTCTGGCCCCTTTGGGTGCATCTGCGTGGGAAGCACTGAATGACCTGGGGACCCTTAAATGATCTCGGCATCAGTGAAGCTCTGATTCTGGGTGCCATGGAATGTGGTTTAGACATTAGTTTGTGGAAACTTTTCTGTTTTAGGATGATTTGCTTAGAATTTTCTCAGACTGAGACGATGGCTGCAGAGTCCCTTGAGACCAGGTCTAATTTGTACCTGGGGACCTCTTCCTCCAGTGATTCCTGGGGGTGGAGGGGCAGTCCCTGGAAAGGTGACTGGGACATGCTGAACAGGTCTTGGACCAGGCTGTGCTGCTGTCCCACTCCCTTCACCAGCCTGCCCCGAGCCTCTGTGTGTGAGTAACAGAAGTTTTCCCCTACTCAGGGCCCGAGGTAATCAAACCTACCTTTGACCTTGGTGAAACAGAGGAGAAAAAATCACAGATCAGCGCAGATAGTGGTGTGAGCCTGACATCTGCTTCTCAGGTTTGTGGCAACCTTGTTGAAAATATTTAAGGTTAAATTTGCTATCTTGGGCTGGGGACATAGCTCAGTTAGTAGAGTGCTTGCCTTGCCTGCACAATACCCTGGGTTCAATCCCCAGCCCACAAAAAAAGAAAAAAAAATTTGCTATTTCACAACACATTTCTATTTGTTTGTTTGTTTGTTTATTTTTTTTTATGGTGCTCAGGATTGAACTCAGGGCCTCACACATGCTAGAAAAATACTCGATCACTGAGCTACACCTTCAGCCCCTATTTTAACTTCAGTTAAAAACAACAACAAAAAAGAAGCAACAACTTCAAAACAACATATCCCATTATAGAGCAATGATTTAATGAGTATACTAGATACAATATTAATATCTATTAAAGATTGTGTTTTCAAGCTAGTGTGGTGGTACACGCCTGTAATCCCAGCAGTTTAGGAGACTGAGGCAGGAGGATTGCAAGTTTGAGGCCAGCCTGGGCAACTTAGCAAGACCTTGTTTCAAAATAAAAAATAAAAAAGAACTAGAGATGTAGCTTAGTGGTAAAGCATCCCTGGGTTCAATCCCCAATCCAAAAAAAGATTGTGCCTTCAAAAATTTAGTGACACAGGAAAATATTTCCAAAACTAGGTATACAATATTAATTCAATTTTATTATAAGAATGTATTTAGAGGGCTGGGATTGTAGCTCAGTGGTAGAGCACTTGCCTTGCATGCATGAGGCCCTGGGTTCAATCCTCAGCATCATATTAAAAAAATAAATGAATAAATAAAATAAAGATTTTAAAAAAAGTATTTAGAAAAAGACTAAAAGGAAATTATGAAAAACAGTGGTTAATGTGGGTGGCAGATTTGTGGCTTATTCTTATTTCCTTATTCTTTCATGTGTTTTCTGCAATGAGTGTGTATTTTTTAATGTGTATTATTTCTTTTTTTGTTACGTAAGTCATAAATTTTCTATCAAAGAAAAAATAAGGGGCTGGGGTTGTGGCTTAGGGGTAGAGTGCTCGCCTCGCACGTGCGAGACCCTGGGTTCGATCCTCAGCACCACATAAAAATAAATAAGTGAAATAAAGGTATTGTGTCCAACTACAACTAAAAAATAAATATTTAAAGAAAAAAGAAGTTGCTCATGACCTCTCTAGAGATGATATCAGAAGGGTGGGGAGGGGAGAAGGAAGAAGGTACAGTATTTCTGAGGGAAACCGAGAGCAGGTAGGATACCTCTCCTACTATGTCTGTCCCTGTATCTTATTGCAGAGAACTGATCAAGACTCAGTCATCGGTGTGAGTCCACCTGTTATGATCCGCAGCTCAAGTCAGGATTCTGAAGTTAGCACCGTGGTAGGGGAACACCACACTGGCTTCTTGGTGGGTGGAGTGTGGGTTCCCCCTTTGGAAAAAGGGGCTTCTTTCTCTTTGGAGGGTGCTCTTAGTCTCAGGTCAGCATGGGTCTCATGGTGGAGATAGGTACCTGTCATAGGTGCACATATACAGGATTTCACAGGGCTTCTCCTCATCTTATGAAGAATCAAGTACTTAGAGAAGCCACCTGACTCACGTATAAAATTTGATGCTTTCTTATTGTAGCAGAGAGCTCAAACAGTGTGACATTTCTGGGGCCCTTCCCTGGGGAGTATCTCTTACTACCTCTTTTCCCTTTCCAGGTGAGTAATAGTTCTGGAGAAACGCTTGGTGCAGACAGTGATCTGAGCAGCAATGCAGGTGATGGACCAGGTGGTGAGGGCAGTGCCCACTTGGCAAGTTCCCGGGGCACTTTGTCTGATAGTGAAATTGAGACCAACTCTGCCACAAGTGCCATCTTTGTAAGCTTTGTTTACTAACAAAAGAAGACCATTTCTTTAATGGGGGAGGGAAATAGGTTAGAAAAGAATGAAAAGTTGAGATACAATAAGAAGGAAAAGATGGAACTTGGGAAGGGTATAGTTCAGTGGTAGAGCACTTGCCTTATAGTTGCAAGGCCCTGGGTTCCATCCCCAGCACCAGAAAGAAAAGGAAAATGTAAAGTAAGGTATAGATAATATTTGGCTTTAAGAACAATGTTTTTTAAGGCATTTGTCAGTAATTTGACTCCAAGATCTAGGCTTTTAGAACCCTTTCCTTAATCATAGGTGAGTTAAGTGTCCTTCTCAATCAGATATGAGCTTTGAATCATATGTAGTAATAATCCCCATATTTTAAAATTGATTGATTTTTAATTGATGCATTATAGTTGTACATAAAAATGGAGTTCATTGTTATGTATTCATGCATGCACATGGCATAGTCTGTGATCCTCATATTTAAAATGGACCAAGCAAAACCTTGTAACTCTCATTTAGTGCCAGTCTACATATTAACTGTGGATCAGTCCAGTTTTATTTTGGTTACTGCTCTATTTCTATATAGTACCTTCAAACAATATTTCAGGGCTGGGGTTTTAGGTTAGTGGTAGAGTGCTTGCCCAGCAAGTGTGAGGCACTGGGTTTGATCCTCAACACCACATAAAAATAAATAAATAAAAGATATTGTACCCATCTATAACTTTAAAAAGTTATAAAAAAATAGTATTTCATTACTAACATTTAAAATATTTACTCATTAATAAACGTGTGAAGTGATTAATAAGTGCCAGATTCCATACTAAAGGAACAGAGAGGAATAAGGCATGATTCTCACTCTCAAAAATTTGTAATTCGACAGATTGCTATAAATAGTCTCTTCTGATACGCAAGGGGAACAAAGCCTTAGGAAAAAAAGAACTTGCCCTAGGTCACCCAAAGTTCTTGGCTAACTGTAATGAAATGAATTATTTTTAGTCTTTGCCTTAGACAAGTAAGGCAAGTGTATATGTGCCTCTTTATGCATTAAATACTTTGATACACTTGCCTCTTTGTTAGAGAAGAGAATGGGTATTCTGTAGAAGATCTCATAGATCCTTATCTTTGGTCTGTGGGGAGAATGGAAAATAAAATTTAAAAGAAATCAATTATTTAACTCTGGTTACCAAGACATTCTGTAGATGTATTTCTTCTAATAGTGATTCCCAGAGTGAAGGTTGGGATAGGATTGGGAATCAGGGTCCCTCAAGTTAATGGGCCTTAACTCTGAGCTCAGTATTGTTTTAGCAAGAATATTTAAAATCCTTCCAATGTGCTTCTGTTCTGGATGTTAAAATTAATATCATGGAATATCAGTCTTCAGAAAGCCATTCATTCAGCTCTGTGCTACCTTTCCTAGACCTTCCTGAGACAAATTCTTACTTGTCCTAAGCTGGTGCAAGGGATCTATGTACAGTTGAGTTGCTGAGTGCAGTCACCTAAATTTCTTGGTTCAAAGAGCTGTTTTAACAAGAATAAATTATGCTAACTCTGTATGGCCCATATAGCAAAGTATTGGGCTGTGAACTAGGAAACTGGCATTTAGTCACACTAATTAGATATTGCCCAATAACCTTTGATCAGTTGCTCCTTTGCTTATTCTGTCCCTGTGTTACGAAAGGGCATGGTATTACTTACATCTTACCTAGGCAGAAATGTTTTTGATTCAATAGAAAGTCTAATACTTCAGAAGTGACAAATGAAGTTAGTGATACTTCTCAGAGGCAGTAAGAGATGTAGGATAGAAGAAATTAACATTTTAAAATCAATTACCAACTGTGTGCCAGGCACTGCTAAGTGCTTTTTTTTTTTTTTTAATTTTTTATTGTTGGCTGTTCAAAACATTACATAGTTCTTGATATATCATATTTCACACTTTGATTCAAGTGGGTTATGAGCTCCCATTTTTACCCCATATACAGATTGCAGAATTACATCAGTTACACATCCATTGATTTACATATTGCCATACTAGTGTCTGTTGTGTTCTGCTGCCTTTCCTATCCTCTACTATCCCCCCTCCCCTCCCCTCCCCTCCCCTCTTCTCTCTCTGCCCCCTCTACTGGCATTCATTTGTCCCCCTTGTATTATTTTTCCCTTTCCCCTCACTTCCTCTTGTATGTACTTTTGTATAACTCTGAGGGTCTCCTTCCATTTCCATGCAATTTCCCTTCTCTCTCCCTTTCCCTCCCACCTCTCATCCCTGTTTAATGTTAATCTTCTTCTCATGCTCTTCGACCCTACTCTGTTCTTAGTTACTCTCCTTATATCAAAGAAGACATTTGGCATTTGTTTTTTAGGGATTGGCTAGCTTCACTTAGCATAGTCTGCTCTAATGCCATCCATTTCCCTGTAAATTCTATGATTTTGTCATTTTTTAATGCAGAGTAATACTCCATTGTGTATAAATGCCACAAATTCCTCAATAGGACACCCATAGCACAAAAGTTAATAACTAGAATCAACAAATGGGACTTACTCAAACTAAAAAGTTTTTTTCTCAGCAAAAGAAACAATAAGAGAGGTAAATAGAGAGCCTACATCCTGGGAACAAATCTTTACTCCTCACACTTCAGATAGAGCCCTAATATCCAGAGTATACAAAGAACTCAAAAAATTAGACAATAAGAGAACAAACAACCCAATCAACAAATGGGCCAAGGACCTGAACAGACACTTCTCAGAGGAGGACATACAATCAATCAACAAGTACATGAAAAAATGCTCACCATCTCTAGCAGTCAGAGAAATGCAAATCAAAACCACCCTAAGATACCATCTCACTCCAGTTAGATTGGCAGCCATTATGAAGTCAAACAACAACAAGTGCTGGCGAGGATGTGGGGAAAAGGGTACACTTGTACATTGCTGGTGGGACTGCAAATTGGTGCAGCCAATTTGGAAAGCAGTATGGAGATTTCTTGGAAAGCTGGGAATGGAGCCACCATTTGACCCAGCTATTCCCCTTCTTGGTCTATTCCCTAAAGACCTAAAAAGAGCATGCTACAGGGACACTGCTACATCGATGTTCATAGCAGCACAATTCACAATAGCAAGACTGTGGAACCAACCTAGATGCCCTTCAATAGATGAATGGATAAAAAAAATATGCTAAGTGCTTTTCATATTTAATCCTTGTGGGGTGTAACTCAGTGGTGAAATGTATGAGGCCCTGGTTCAATCCCTAGCACTAGAAAAAAATTAAATTTATTCCTTGCTGTAGTCCTGTGATGAGGAAAAGCCTGTGTTCTTTCTACTATGTTGTGCTGCTATTCGCTTTCTACTAATCTCTTGAGAGAATTTGCCTGGTTATTATTTTTTTTTTTTAAGAGAAAGTTGTCATACAGAGTCTAAGGAGTGAAGATAAGTCAGAATGAAAGGTTGATCACTTTATTTGGGAGGCAGTAACAGAAAGCTGGGTTATCAGATTGATTTTTAGTCAAATCCTAGAGGCAAGCAAGGCCACTGGAATTTTTGTTGCTAATGGATGGTGCCTGGTGTGAGCCTTTTGGTGAGATGTTTGGTTTACCTTGTCCCTATTCACTGACCTATCACCTTGTCTCTCTAGGGTAAAGCCCACAGCCTGAAGCCAAAGGAGAAGCTGGCAGGCAGCCCAGTTCGCTCTTCTGAAGATGTAAGCCAGCGCGTCTATCTCTACGAGGGACTCCTAGGTGAGAAGTGGACTGGGAAGGCCCTTCACACTGAAAGAGAAAGTTGGGCTCAGCCAGAGGAGAGGGTAGTACTGGCCAGTAGCTGCTTAGCTCTTTGCTGATCTCAATGTTAACAATGGATAAAATTTCATTTCTGAAGCAAGCAAATTATTGGATCTGGAACAAGCAGTAGGCGAAAACTAGATGAGATTGGATTTTGGCATTAATCAATAGCTGTCTTTCTGTCTTCCTTTCTTTACTTTCTTGCTGCCATGGTCTTTCCTGCTCACAATTGGCAGGAAGGGACAAAGGATCGATGTGGGACCAGTTAGAGGATGCTGCTATGGAGACCTTTTCTATAAGTAACCACTTTTCTTTGTGTGCTGTGTTCATGCTTCCTGCTTGGGAGGGACTGGGCCTTACTCGGTAGCATCTGGGTCTGGTGGCAGGAGTGTTAGATCTGGGGTAGAGGTTCATGTTTCCCATGGATTGGAATCACTCTCTTTGGTCTGGGGTTTACTCTCTTTATTTTTGTTTGGCAGCTGTATTCCTTCAATGTTAAATATTCTCTAAAAAGTCTTTATTCTACACAGGCAAAGAGCGTTCTACTTTATGGGACCAAATGCAATTCTGGGAAGATGCGTTTTTAGATGCTGTGATGTTAGAGAGAGAAGGGATGGGTATGGATCAGGGTCCCCAGGAAATGATTGACAGGTATGAAGCTTGAAAAACCTGTGGGAGTGTGCAAATCCAGCCTTCTCCCTGTTAGTTCAGTGGTCTCCTACCTGAGGGCTGACTTTTGCCTGGTCTTCTGCTTAGGTACCTGTCCCTGGGAGAACATGACCGGAAGCGCCTGGAAGATGATGAAGATCGCTTGTTAGCAACCCTTTTGCACAACCTCATCTCCTACATGTTGCTGATGAAGGTAACGTTGATTTTGCTTATGTCTGGCTGTTACTGATGTTGGAAGGGCGAGGTTTGTTCCTATTGCCTAAATTCAGGTGTCCTTGGGAAGCTATTAAAGCATTTTATGGGGAGCTGGGTGAGGTGGCGCATGCCTGTAGTCCCAGTGGCTCGGGAGACTGAGGCAGGAGGATCACGAGTTCAAAGCCAGCCTCAGCAACTTAGCAAGGCCTTAAGTTACTCAGTGAGACCCTGTCTCTAAATAAAATACAAAATAGGGCTGGGATGTGGCTCAGTGGCCGAGTGGCCCTGAGTTCAATCCCTGGTATCCCTGATAAAAAGCATCTTACGGGGGATCTCTTTCTGATTGAAAAGTTTGATTCCTCTCTATCAGTTTGCATAGGATCTCTTTAGCCGAGAAACTACCAGGATGTTATGCTAATGAGTGTTGTAAAGGTAATTGACCCTTTTATACTATGTTTATTTTGAATTTTATGTGGGCTCCCCTAAGTAGTCTTAGGATGCCAGTAGAGCTTCACACATAATACAATGGATTATTTATTTTTTAGTAGGTTCTAAAACCTTAGAAAGGATGCTCAGAATTTACTTTTCAGCAGCAGCCTGTTTTCATATAGGATTTTTCAACAACTATAAAAAGAGCTAGCCATTAGCAAAGTAATGTTTGATATGGTTGTGCTTGGATTTTATAGCTGTGGAAGAAGTATGGTTCCAGATGAAAAGTCCTGCTCTGATAGGGAAACATAATTTTGGGGTTGGTGGGTAGAAGAGAGTTGTTTGAGAATGAGTCCTTGAGAATAGCTTTCCTCCTGCTCTTCCCAGCCTCCTTAGATTTGAAGGGATCAGTTAATCAAATGCAGAGAATTTTGGGTTGCTCACTTTCTGTTGTAAGGTTCCCTCTACTCTGTTGAATTCCAGGGGCACCAGTTGACTGGTTGGGGAAAGATGGTGATTCTTAACCTTCAGAGGATCTCAGCTACTACAGTCTCAGAATTGCCATTCTGAGTCATTATTTCTACATTATGCTCTGAGGAGCCCTTTAGGGGTGAATGTTATCTTTTGGGGATGACAGGAAGTGTCCCCTTGAAGCCTGTCCACTCTCAGAGCCACTTTTTTGCAGGAGCTAACCAGAGATAGAACCAGGACTTTTCTCCCTGGTACATTGGCAGAACACCCAGTCAAAAGCATTCTCCCATGTTCAGAGATGTGTTCTTTCAGAATCCCACTTCTTTATACAAAATACATGTATGAAGATGTGAAAAAAAAAAGAAAAGCGTTACCTTAGATTAGGCAGAGAGAAGTGATGGGAGGGGAGGGGGGGAATGTCGGGATAAGAAAGATAGTAGAATGAAACAGACATTATTATTTCTGTGTGTATATATGTGACTACATGACCAATATGATTCTGTAACCTGTACACTCAGAAAAATGAGAAATTATATCCCATCTGATTCAAATGTATGATATATCAAAGTCATTGTACTGTCATGTATAACTAATTAAAACAAATAAAAAAATAAAAGAATCCCACTTTCTGTCAGATAGGAGGAAGCTCACTTGTACATTCTTTTGTCTCTACCTCAGTTGAAAGTAGTAGAGCAGATCCTTTATTAACATTCTATCTTGGTTTTCCAGGTGAACAAGAATGACATCCGAAAGAAGGTGCGACGTCTGATGGGAAAGTCACATATTGGACTTGGGTATAGCCAGCAAATCAACGAGGTGCTTGATCAGCTGGCGAACCTGGTGAGCATCGCTCGACCCTCCCCTGGGCTCTCCTTTTGATCACTTGCCATCCTCCCCTCTAGGCTTCTGGCCTAATGCATAGGTTTCCCCAAGGCCATTTCTCATCTGTGTCACTGTGCAGTCCAGTTCAGCCCTAGTTTTGAGGATAAGACAGTAGTCTAGATGAGGTTTTAACCCTTATGTTCTGTACTAGGATTCTGTACTGAAACTACCTAGTGCAGAAGTTTCTACATGTGATCTTTGGATTCCTGAGAATCTACAAAGTAAAAACTGTTTTCATTATGATAGTAAAAAGCCTGTTTCCTGGCTCTACATTTTCACTGATGCTGCAAAAGCAGTGGTGTGTAAACTGCTGACGCCTTAACACCCTGACTCCAAACTGTGCTAGCCCAGCCTCACCTCCATGATCTGTCACTTGTGAATGTCCTTGATAAATCAATGAAAACCATTGCTTTTATTAAACCTCTTATCACTGATCATATGTCTTTAATATGCTGAGTTACAAAATGGGAAGTATGCATACTGTATTTCTGTTGATGAATGTTTTGAGGATAAACAGATTGAATTGCAAGATGAACTGTTAGCTTTGTTCATGGATCACTACTTTTACTTGAAAGAATGACTAACAAACTATGGTTATTCAGAATTGAGTATTTAGCAGACATTTTCTCCAAAATTAATAGAGGTGAGCCAGTTTAAAGGAAAACACTAGATAGTACTTTTACTAATGATAAGATTCAAGCTTACAAATGAAAATGAGTATTTTGGGCGATTTTTGAGCTTGAATTATCTCAATATTTTAAGAGATATTTTCTAATGAGATTGTTGATAACATTAATGAATTTTTTTTTTTTTACATTGTGTAATGAGAAGGATTTTACAAATACAGTGTGTGTGTGATACTACAAGTTCAAGCATGGATAAAAGAAGCACTGAAAATATAATCTAGACAGGTAGATTTTAGTGTAATACTATGAAATGCTCATTGATATGCTTTCTGGTTCCACCTAATGACTAACTTTTAAGAAACTGCTATTTTGGGGTTGGGGTTGGGGTTCGGTGGTAGCGCACTTGCCTAGTATGCGTGAGGCACTGGGTTCGATTCTCAGCACCACATACAAATAAATAAAATAAGGATTCATCAACAACTAATTAAAAAAAAAAAGAAATTGCTATTTTGAGTTCTGGTATAGTGGCAAAGAAGAGTATGCATATTTATCCAAAAAGGCTATTAAAATTCTTCTCCCTTTTCCAAACTGGTATGTGTAAAGTCAGATTTTCTTCATACACCTTAACCAAAGCAACATATTATAACAGGGTGAGTGCAGAAGCAGATATGAAAATGTAGCTATTTTCTATTAAGTCAAATATTAAAGAGATTTGCAAAAATGTAAAACATGGTCACTCTTCATTTTTGTTGTTGTTGGGGAAAATATATTTTTTTTAAAAAATATGTTATTTAGGGTTGGGGATGTAGCTCAGTGGAACAGAGCTTGCCTAGCACGTCTGAGGCACTGCTAGGTCCGATCCTCAGAACACATAAAAATAAATAAATAAAATAAAGGTATTGTGTCCATCTTAAAAAAAAAAGATATGTTATTTATATTACCACATACTTGGTAGTTATTAATTATTTATTTTTAAATGAATTAATGGGGCTGGGTGTGTAGCTCAATGATAGAATGCTTGCTTAGTATGCTCAAGGCCCTAGGTTTAATCCCCAGCACTTAATAAAGAAGTTTATTAATTCTTTTTTTTTTTTTTTCATACCAGGGATTGAACTCAGGGGCACTCAACCACTGAGCCACATGCCCAGCCGTATTTTGTATTTTATTTTAGAGACAGGGTCTCACTGAGTTGTTTAGCACCTTCCCATTGCTAAGGCTGTCTTTGACTCATGATCGTCCTGCCTTAGCCTCCTGAGCTACTGGGATTACAGGCGTGTACCACCTCACCTGGCCTAATAAACATTTTTTTAATTCCTAGTTTTAATTTCTAGTATGGTAGATATGACTTATATAAACAAAAGCTCTTTGGGATCTTTAGTAATTTTTTGTTCTTGTTTTCTGGGGATTGAACCCAGGCATGCTATAGCACTGATCTATACTCCCAGTCACTAAGTTGCTAAGGGTCTCTCTGAGTTGCTGAGACTGGCCTCCTGCCAGTCCTTCTGCCTCAGCCTAAATTTGCTAGCACATAGCATAGAAATTCTTTTGTTTTTGCAGTATTGGGGATTGAACCCTGGGCCTGAGAGTACTAGACACTCTACCACTGAACTGTATTTCCAGTTTCAGTAATTTTTAAGAGGTATAGAAGTTCTGAGACCAAAAACTTCTTGAGCTGGGTGTGGTGGTGCACACCTGTAATCTTAGCCACTCGGGAGGCTGAGGCAGGAGGATCACAAATTCAAAACCAGCCTCAGGGGCTGGGGATGTTGCTCAAGCGGTAGCGCACTCGTCTGGCATGAGTGCGGCCCGGGTTTGATCCTCAGCACCACATACAAACAAAGATGTTGTGTCTGCCGAAAACTAAAAAAAAAATATAAATATTAAAATTCTCTCTCTCTCTCTCAAAAAAAAAAAAAGAAAGAAAGAAAGAAAGAAAGAAAACCAGCCTCAGCAATAGCAAGGTGGTAAGCAGTGAGACCCTGTCTCTAAATAAAATACAAAATAGGGCTGGGAATGTCACTCAGTGATCGAATGCCTTTGAGTTCAATCCCCAGTACCCCCCGCCCCCCCCCAAAAAAAAAGTTCTTGAACACTTACTTTCCTGGTGGCCAGGTGTTGAAAGATGAGATGATGTTAATTTAATTGCTGAACAGGATATTCTTGGCCCAGAGCCATGTATAAAAGGGATGTATGAATGTCCTAAAAATCTCTCTTTCCTCAGAATGGACGTGATCTCTCTATTCGATCCAGTGGCAGCCGACACATGAAGAAGCAGACATTTGTGGTGCATGCAGGGACAGACACAAATGGAGATATCTTTTTCATGGAGGTAGGTACTGGTTCATGCTGGGAACCCAAAGGAACATTTGAAAGACATAAGGAGCTCCTAGGACTGGTGCCAGAATAATTTTCCCATTTATCTCATTTATCTTCATAATCCAGTTATTAAATTTTGCAAATAATTATGTTAATGTGATAGGTTTTTCCCCACCATTTCCTGTGTGTCTGTGTATTTTTTTAAATAGGTGATATAGTCACATTGTCCATGAAGTAGCATATATTGGGAGGTCTTACACTCATCCTGGTCCTCTTCTACTCAATTCCCCACTCACCTTTCCTCTTCATCCTGTAGGTAACAGCTTGTGTTGGTTTCCTTTGTATTTTCCAGTGTTTTTTATTATGCAAACAGATCTGGGGGTAAATTCTTATTTTTCCCTTTTCTTACAGTCAGATGCCGCATTATATTCACTGGTCTATACCAGTGTTTGTTTTTTTCATTAAATGTCATCCTGGCAGTCCTCTCTAACAGAACAAAGAGATTTCTTGTTCTTTCTATGTCCTTTTTTCCACTGTGTGATTGTGCCATAATTTATCTAGCCAGTCAGTACGTATTGATCCTTGTGTTGCATCCAGTTTGTGCTACTATGATTGACATTGTGCCTGCTTAATTTCATATATTGTAGTTGTGTCTGTAAGAATTCCTGGAAATGGGATTGCTGGACTAAAGGGACAGTACGTTTGTAAATTTGGTTGATATGACTGTTAACTACCTTTTAATATATTCTACCTGCTTGCTATTTATTTTGTTGAAGAAATTGAATCATTGGCTCTGTGGAGTAGCTCACATTTTAGACTTCTTGCTGATTGCATCTCCTTGCTGCTGTTTCTCTGTGTCTTGTATTTCTTACAAACTACTACCGCATTCTAGAGATTTGATCAGTTTTCAATTCAATATTTTGCTGGACACTGTGGCACACACCTGTAATCCCAGCAGCTCCAGAGGCTGAGGCAGGAGGATCATAAGTTCAAAACCAGCCTCAGAACTTAATGAAGCCCTGAGCAACTGAGTGAGACCCTATCTCAAAATTTAAAAATAAAGTAAAAAGGGCTGGGGATGTGGCTCAGTGGTTAAGCACCCCTAGGTTCAACCCCTGCTTAATTTCATACATTGCAGTTGTATCTGTAAGAGTTCCTGGAAATGGGATTGCTGGATTAAAGGGAAAAATATTTGTAATTTTGGTTGGTATGATTCTTTACCTTTTAATATATTTTAAAGTTAAATAAATAAAAATTAAAAATTTTTTAAAATCAATATTTTGGCAAGAATACTTCCTAGATGGTGCTATATAGTTACTTCCTGTGGCCTCACAGGGTCCTCTCTTATGGTTCAGATGTGGGCAGCCTAAACCAGCCACTGTAAAGTACCTCATTTGTCTCCTGGTTTTATGTATGATATTTTTTTTGCATGTAAAAATATTTTATTTATTTATTTATTTTTTTAATTTATTTTTTAGTTTTCAGTGGACACAATTTTATTTTTATGTGGTGCTGAGGATCGAACCCAGCGCCCCGTGCATGCCAGGCGAGCGCGCTACCGCTTGAGCCACATCCCCAGCCCAAAATATTTTATTTTTATGTAAATTAGTTAACAGAATGCTTTTATGGCTTTGGATTTTGATTAATAATTAGTAAAAGCATTCTCCACTCCAGTATTTTCATGGAAATTGACTGGTTTTTTTTTTTTGTTTCCATGTTTTTGGTTTTTGGTACTTGTGATTGAAGCCAGGTTCTTCTGCCACTGAACTACATCCTCAGCTCTTTTTATTTTATTTTGAGACAGGATCTTGCTAAGTTGCCAAGGCTGGCCTTGAATTTGGGAATCCTCCTGCCTCCTAAATTGCTGGGATTACAAGTGTGGGCCATCATGTTTGGCCAGAAAAGATCTATTTTTAGAATAAAAAACATGGAAATTCCCCAGGCCGTGGCTCATGACTATAATCCCAGCAACTTTAGAGACTGAGGCAGGGGGATTCCAAGTTCAAGGCCAGCCTGGGCAACTTAACTAGACTCTGTCTCAAAGTAAAACAATAAAAAGGGCTGGGCATGTAGCTCAATGGTAGCATGCCCCTGGTTCAAGGCCCAGTACTGCAAAAATAAATTAAAAATAAAATAAAATGGGGGCTGAGACTGTAGCTCAGTGGTAAAGCGCTTGCCCCGCATGTATGAGGCACTGAGTTCAATCCTCAGCACCACAAAAAAAAAATATATACTATGTGTTCATCTACAACTAAAAAATATACATTAAAAATATTTAAAGGGCTGGGTTTATGGCTCAGCGGCAGAGCGCTTGCCTAGCAGGTGGGAGGCCTTGGGTTCGATCCTCAGCACCACATAAAAATAAATAAATGAAGATATTGTGTCCAACTTAAAAAAATATATATTTTAAAAAATATTTAAAATAAATAAATTGATAAAATAAAAATAGAACTCATAAGTAATTTTAGAGACTGGGTACAACTTCTATGTAAGTTATTAAAATTAAACAGTCTACATGTTGTCTGTTCCCTTTTGGTTTAGTTGAATTTGATTTTTGAACAGGTTGTTCACCAAACACAGGAGTGTATACTCTGGAATCAGGAGGGTATGTGTCAGTGTGTCTGAGAAGAGAGTCATTTTCATGTCACCATTTGAGGTGTAAGAATTTGGTTGGGAGTTTCTCCGAGTTGAGGACTAATTTAAGACATTTGCACCACAGTAGAGGTGGCAGGTGATTCTTTTCTTTTTCTCTTAAATATAGCCAAGTCATTGTGGTGGCACATACCTCTGATTCCAGCTACTTACGGGGATGAGGTAAGAGGATCACAAGTTCAAGACCAGCCTCAGCAACTTAGGGAGACCCTGCCTCAAAAATAAAAAATAAAAAAGACTGCACTGTACAGCAAGCCTCATGCTGAGTCTCTGGAGTTGGGGCAGGATGCCTTACCCTCCTACATGCCTCTGCTTTGAAGTGTTGCCATGGCAAGGAAGAGAGCACATTGGCCACCCTGTCACCAACTGACTACCAAGAGGCTCTGAGCCTTTCTCAGCACAGTGAGCTGGCCACACCATCAGACAGCAATTTGGGAAGACTTTTTTAAATTATTAAATGCCAGGTCCAGTGGCACATACGGTATAATCTCAGCAACTCAGGAGGTTGAGGCAGTATGATTGCAAGTTCAAGGCCAGCCTCAGCAACTTAGCAAAACCCTGTCTCAAAATAAAAAGATAGGATGGGGATGTGGCTTTGTGGTTTAGCACCCCTAAATTCAACCCCAAATACAAAAAAAAAAAAAAGTTTTGTGTGAATCCTTTAAGATTTTAAAAATTGCATATTTGTATAAATACAACTTATTTGCTTAGAATTAATAAAAGTGGTATTAAACCACCAACATTAATGTATAATTTTTTCTTTTTGTTGTTGTTGTTTGTTTTGCAGTGCTGAGGATTGAACCAAGGGTCTCACCCACTCTAGGCAAGTGCTCTACTAACTGAGCTACTACATCCTCACCCCACAATTTACTTTTTTGTTGTTGTTGTTACCAGGGATTAAACTCAGGGAACTTAACCACTGAGCCACATCCCAGCCCTTTTATATATTTTATTAGAGACATGGTCTCGATGAGTTGCTTAGGGCCTCACGAAGTTGCTGAGGCTAGGTTCGAACTCTACATCTTCCTGCCTCAGACTCCTGAGTGGCTGGGATGACAGGCATGCACCAACATACCTGGCTCACAATTTGTTTTTTTTCCACTTAATATATCATGAACATCTTTCCATGGTTTATCATTTTGTTTTGTTGTTTGTTTTTGTTTTTTCAGTCCTGGGCATTGAACCCAGAAGTGCTCTGTTTCTGAACAACATCCTCATTTCTTTTTTTCTCTTCTTTTCTTTCTTTCTTTTTTTTCTTTATTTATTTATTTATTTATTTTGAGACAGTGTCTTGCTGAGGCTGGCCTCAAATTTGTGATCTTCCTGCCTCAGTCTCCCAGGTCACTGGGGTTACAGGTGTGTATCATTGTGCCTGGCCATCTTTCTACATTTTCAAGTGGATGCTTAGCCATTTTGGTATTATACAGCTATACCATAATTTATTTAACTAGTGCTTCCCACTGTTTTTTTTTTAACATTGCTTCATTGAATATCCTTGAACATATATTTCTGCACACTGATGTGAGAATTTCTATAGAATATATTCCTAGACATGAAATTTCCAGATCACGCTTATATATATTTAAAATTTTAGTAGAGTCTGCCATTTTGCCATCCCAAAGACTACCAGTTTACATTTCCACCAGCAGCATAGGTGGACTGGGAGTCCTACTGGCCTAGAACCCATTTCTAATTCTTACTCTGCCATTCTAATCGCCCCACCCCCACCTTTTTTGCTGGCAGGGGTAGGGGGGGTGGTTATTGGTGGATTGAATCCAGGGGCTTTCTACTGCTGAGCTATATCCCTAGCTCTTTTGAGACAGGGTCTAAGTGCTGAGACTGGCCTGGAACTTGCCAACCTCCTGCCTTAACTTCCTGAGTAGCTGGGATTACAGGTGTGTGCCACTGTACCTGGCTCAGTCCTTTCTTTAGAAAGCTTTTAGAACTCCAGTAATCTCTTATGTAGGAGTTTAAACCTGATAGTCTCATGTATTCCTTACTCACTGACCTGATACTTATGAAGCACTTAATATATGCTAGGCACTGTGTTGAGTGTGGATTATAGTAGTAAATATGACTGTTGCCCTTCTAGAGTTGACAAACCATTGGAGAAGTTAAATAACTAAACAAAGAATGTTGTAGAATGAGCTTTATAAGAGAAAATGTTTGGGGGGCAGGAGTTATGGGAATATGTAGTAGAGACTGTGGGAATTGTGGACAGCCCCTCTGAAGAAGTGATCTTTGATCATACACTTGAAGGAGGAATAAGAGTGACAATTACAGTGAGGGAAGGGAAGAGCAGTCCAGTGATATTCAAGATGGAATGATGGGATTCAATGATGGATGTAGTGATAGGGAAAAGGAAAGATTTATGCATCACTTGTTCATTTCTGGCTTGAGCAGTAGGGTGAATGATGGTGTCATTTATGGCAGTAGGGGACTTAGAAGGAAGATCTGTCCAAGAGAAGATGCTGAATTCAGATTTAGACAAGGTGAGTTTGAGGGGCTACATATGAGGTATCCACATAAAGACAGGTCAGGAGCTCAGGAGGCCAGGCCTCATATGGAGAGATTTAAGAACCGTCAAAGCTGGGTTTGGTGGCACACTCCTGTAATCCCAGCAGCTTGAGAGGCTGAGGCAGGAGAAGTGTGTGTTCAAAGCCAGCCTCCGCAACTTAGCAAGGCCCTAAGCAACTTAGTGAGATCTTTTCTCAAAAAAAAAAAAAAAAAAAAGCAGGGCTGGGGTTGTGGCTTAGCCTTGCATGTGTGAGACCCGGGTTCGATCCTCAGCACCACATAAAAATAAATAAACAAAATAAAGATATTAAAAAAGGGGAGGGCTGGGGAATGTGGCTCAGTGGTTAAGCTCCCCTAGATTCAATCCCTGCTACCAAAACAAAACAAAAACCCATCAACGTGGCAGTAATAATAATTATATTTCTTATGTTATTATAGCAGCTAACGGGTACTTACACATTAAGCCTCACACATTAAGATTTTTATATTGCCAGGCACAGAGGCACATACCTATAATCCCACTACTCAGGAGGCTGAGGCAGAGGATTGCAAGTTCAAGGTCAGACTCCACAACGTAGCAAGACCCTGTCTCAAAATAAAAAATCAAAATGGCTGGGCATATGGTTCATTGGTAAAGTGGCCTTGAGTTTGATCCCCAGGACTGACAAAAAAAAGAAAGAAACAGGCTGGCAGTAGAACACCCATGGCTTATTCCCTTCTCTCTCTCTCTCTCTCTCTCTTTCACACACACACACACACACACACACCACAAATGCCCATTAACTAACTCATTTAGTCTTCACAGTGGCTCTGTGCAGTTGTTACTCTTATGATCCTTACCTTATACATGAGGAGATGTAGATAGGTAAATTTGCTCAAGGTGACACAGCCAGACAATGGGAGAGATGGAATCTGAACCCAGGTGGTCGGGGCTGAGCAGAGCTCAATGATGGAGCACTTGCCTAGCATGTGTAGGGCCCTGGGTTGGTCCCTCATACTGCAAAACAGCAAACCCCAGGCAGTCTGACCATAGACCTGCGTCTCTAACCAGTATGCTGTAATATTCCCCACAGTAATTAAAGCCTTGAGAACAGATAAGTCTACCTGAGGAAACTGTTGTACAAGAGGAGAGCGTGAAGGGGACTTTGCTTTTTAACTTATATCATCCTATACTGGAATAATTTTTATGCTATAAGCATTGTTCATGTGTCATGTGTGTAATTCATTTTATTTAATTATTTTTTGTGTGGTACTGGGGATTGACCCCAGAGGTGAACCGCTGAGCTACATCTCCAGCCTTTTGAGACAAGGCCTTGCAAAGTTGCTTGAGCTGGCCTCAAACTTTCAATCCTCCTGCCTCAGCCTCTAGAATAGCTGAGATCATAGGCATGTGCTACCATGCCCAGCCTATGTAACTGATTTTAAAAGATATTTTTATAGGATTAGGGCAGAGCCAGGATTAGAAAATATATTAGCTCCAGTTTTTTCTCCTTGGTTAAGTCTGCCATAATCACCTGCCTTTGTGTCTGTCAACAGAGCTGAATCCTATACACAGCCATGAGAAGACATGCACGCCTGTAATCCCAGCAGTTTGGGAGGCTGAGGCAGGCGGATCACAAGCCTCAGCAACTTAACGAGGCCCTAAGCAACAAAATAAAAAGGGCTGGGATGTATCTCAGTGGTTAAACACCCCTGAGTACAATCCCTGGTACCAAAAGGAGAAAAGGAAAAAAAAAATGGAGGCAGCATTCAATGTCCTCTGAACACTTTGTAGATGATAGAGGAAGTATTATACACCCATGGCCTTGAGAGTAGGCCTCCTTCCTTGTGCACAGGATCCTTTCAGTGACTCCATTTCTTTCAATGGAGTCTAGAAGACTTTACATCCAGCAGTTCTGTGTCCCCACCTAGATATGAGGCAGAAAACCTGGCATGGCAGCTCCCGGCATCAGTGTTCCCATTCTTCCCTGTGGGAAACATGCCATGTGGCCTGGGATGGAAGAGTCTGTCAGAGAGCAGACCCACTGAGCTCTTTGTGCACTCCTCCAGGTGTGCGATGACTGTGTGGTGTTGCGGAGTAACATCGGGACAGTGTATGAGCGCTGGTGGTATGAGAAGCTCATCAACATGACCTACTGTCCCAAGACCAAGGTTTTGTGCTTGTGGCGTAGAAATGGCTCTGAGACCCAGCTGAACAAGTTTTATACTAAGAAGGTACACAGGGTCTCTGGGTTGGGGATCGGATAGGCGTCGAGGGCCAAGTATTGAGCATCTCTCTGGGAAGTTACAATTCCAAACTCCATGCCCCCAGCTGTTGTGTGGGATAACTAAAGCTGTCCCTGAGTCCTGGCATTGGCCTCACCCTCCAGCAGCCATCCAAGAGCAGGGGGCAGTGAACCCTGAAGGCTGCTATGACAGGGTGCTTTCTCCCCTTGTGCCACAGTGTCGGGAGCTGTACTACTGCGTGAAGGACAGCATGGAGCGTGCTGCTGCCCGACAACAAAGCATCAAACCCGGTGAGGAGAGGACACTCCCTGAGAGTGCTGGAGGCCTGGCCAGGAGCCGGGCTGCAGTGAGCTGACCGCCTCACTGGTTAGCTGATAACCTCCTTCCTCACTGCAGGGCCTGAACTAGGTGGCGAGTTCCCCGTGCAGGACATGAAGACAGGCGAGGGTGGCTTGCTGCAGGTCACCCTGGAAGGGATCAATCTCAAGTTCATGCATAACCAGGTAGGTGCAAGCAGCAGCACAAGGCTACCTGGCCCTGTTGTTCCACCTGCAATAAGGATCAGTGGCCAGGTCCCAGTGCTTTCCCAGTGAGCACGAAGGGAGTCTTGGACCAGAGGGAGGACTGGACAGCTGGCCGAGAGAGAAATCAGAGGGAGGGCACAGTGACCTTGGTGAGACCACCAGGCTCCGTGAAGGTGCAACAGGGAGCCTGTGGGGAGCTGGGACAGAGCATGAGGTGTGGTGGCCGTGCCACCCCTTCCATTAGACTCACACAGTGTGAGTGGGAGCGTCTCACTTGGCCCTCTGCGTGTCTCTGCCTTCCTGTGTTCCCAGGGTGTGCTTCGCTCCGTGGTTTTGCTTTGGGAGTCTAGACTGGCTCATCTCACGGATTTCTGGTGTGTGCGTGTGGCCTCTCTGTCCTCTAAGCGTGTGTGTTCATTGCTTTTTCTTTCTGCTGATTCTTCTGTTCTTTTTCTTCCTTTGAGTGTTCCCACTCTGGGACCTATTCCCCAGGCCCCAGGCCCCTCCCTTTGATGGAGAGCACTTCAGGATCATCTTTCCCTCTTTGTGACTCCACCCCGGAGCTGACTGTTTCCCTCTCTCGGTCTTTTAACACGATGCTAACTTTTTCTCTCAGTGGACATTCATTAAGCTAATTCCCTCTGAGGCCAGCGCGACATCCCAGGTCCGTTCCCGGCTCTGACTCTTCACCCAAGTGCCTTTCCTCCCCTTCCCTGATGTCCTCTTCCCGAGGCTCTGAGCCAGATCCCAACATGAGGCCCCACAACCCCTGGCCAAGCAGCAGACACTCAGGGGAGGTGGACATCAACTGCCATGGCTCTCTCCATCTGTTCGCCAGTTTAGTTCTCACTCTTCAGAGTCTAGCTGGGAAGATTGGGGTAACAGAAACGGCTGTGCAGGCTTCCTGCAGCCCCTGAGTGTATTTCCAGTCTGGGGCCTGGACTGGCAGTAGCCCTAAAGACCTGAGAATCAGCCCATCAGCCCAAGGAGGGGATTAATCAAGTACTTTCTGACCACAAAGGTCCTGGCACTTCCTGGGGAGGGTCTTCTGACCACATTTCAGTGTTGCGGCCTCCCCTTCTGAAGACAGCTCTTGTTAAACTACCCCCAGATGCTCTGCCTATCTCCATGTCCTACCCTTGGGGCGCCCCCTGGGTACACCATGTAGTATGACATTTACTAGCCTACACCGACTGCTTAGTGGTGAAAACTGAGGTCCCTAGAAGAGGCATTGTAAAGAGAGCAGGAGTGAAGGCTGTGACTCACAGTCTGATAATGGGGAAGTGACCTGCAGCCGTCTTTTGCTGTATAGCAGGCAGTTGGGGTAGAGGAAGCGCCAGACCCTCCCAGCAGTGTTTGGGAGAAGTACAGACTTGGAGTCAAGATGTGCTTGGATCTGAAGTTCAGCTTCATTATTCATGGGCAATATGCTTTTTGATCCTGTTTCCTCATCTGTAAGATGGGGGCAAACTGTGGGCCACCCAGAAAGCCATAGGAGTAGTGTTCGTAAACCTCCCAGATGGTACTCAGCAAGCTGCTGCTGTTGTCACCACACACTCTTGGGAGGTCCTGGATCCTGTGTCAAGGAAGATACCAACACCTCCCACCCCAAGGACAGTCTGAGGGAAGCTTTGTGCCCGTGCCAGCCCTCTGCGCCGGAGGAGGATGTATGGAAGGGTGGAGACCTATGGGCTGAGATGGGGGACGCCGGGGGCACTGTGTCCTATGAGCACTGCCCTGGGTAGAAGGTATGGGTGGGCAGCCCAGGCCAGCAGAAGGGCCTCTGGGTTGGGTTTGACCATTAAAACTAACGCCTTCATTTCTCTCCCATGCTTTCTCCTCCGGCCAGGAGCGGAAGGTACATGCCCTTTCTGCTATCTTCGCTTCTTAGCGCTTTTGACTGTGTGTGTGTGAATTCTTCTGTCCTCCCTTTGGGAGCTAGGTTTCCTGTGTGGGGGTGGGGCTGAGGCTGGGAGAGTGGGCTCTGCTGGGCAGGGGTGGAGCCTCTGGGCCTTACCCCGCCCTCCCTCCCTCTCTTGCAGGTTTTCATAGAGCTGAATCACATTAAAAAGTGCAATACAGTTCGAGGCGTCTTTGTCCTGGAGGAATTTGGTAATTACACTATTTTGCTCTTAGGTCTGGACTCACATGGCAGTAACTCAAACCTTGGAGCTCCAGAGAAGGGACTAGGGGCAGGGAGAAGACCACCTCTGCAGAGGAGAGGAGGAGCCCTCAGGAGAGAGGGAAGGAGGAGGAAAGCAGAGCAGCAGCCACAGGAGAGCGAGGGGCTTAGGCCGGTTTAGAGTCTAGACGCAGGCAGAGGCTCAGCGACGTTAGCACCACTTTCCCTTGCTCTGCCGGCCAGTGGTCAGAAAGTTCTGGGGCAGAGCAGACTGGCAGTTCCCAAGCTCTGTTGTGTCCATGTCGCCTGCTGCCATCTCTAGCTGCCCAGCGCTCCACCAGCCTCCCTGGCCTTGTTCTGCCCTCTGCCTAGCCTCCGTGCTAGAGGGGGTGTGGGGAGTGGCAGGCAGACTCACCAAGGGACAGGGAAGCCTAGTGGGCCTCGAGGCAGAGGGCAGTCATAGGGAAAAGCTGTGGCCGGCCGCCCTGGCAGCACTGAGGAGAGGTGTAGCGGTCCTCCCGGGGGCTTTGAGTTCCTGCTGTGTTTGTGCTTCATTCTTTTGTGCCCCTCATCGCTGCTATGAAAACCTTCGTTCTCCAGCAGGTAAAGTGACCTCGGCTCGTGCTGCCTCCCAGGCCCCTGCCTCGGGCCCTGCAGGGGTGGGCGGGCTCCCTTCAACCAGCCGGCTGCTCACATTGCCAGTTTGTCTCTTCCTTTCTCTTCCCGCCTCTTCCTTTCCTCCCCCTCGTGCTGGCTCACTCTTCCAAGTTCTCTCCCTGCTGTGCTCCCTTCTCTCTTCTGCCCGAGAGATGTGTGGGGACTCTTCCAATTTAGGAGAATGACCCAGGGCTTCTTGCTCTAAGGAGTTCAGTCCCTGCTAACCCTGGGTGCCCGAATTCTACCTCCCAGGGTCAGAAGAAGGTGTGGCCAACTCTCATCCGACTTTGTCTGGCCTCCAGGGGATGCCATGTCCCTCCTCCCAGTCTCAGTGATGGCTGGACCTGGGGGCCCTACTCCTTCCTCTGGCCAAGCAGAGCCCCTGCATGGTTGGGGCAGGGGGACTCCTAGTCTTGCATTCTGGGCTGTGGACATGTGTGTATTTGCCTGATGCTCCCTGTCACCTCCCTTCCCGGGTGCTGTACTCGCTGTCTCCTGCTCAGTGTGTCTGCTCCAGAGCCCTCTGACGCTCTCCCTCACACAGGCAGGCCTGGGCTTCTCATGTCACTCAGAGAAGGACACTTCCAGATCTTATGGGTTTAGTGTCATGTTCCTTCTTCATCCAGCCTCAGGACCTCTGTAGGGGCTGGCAGTGAAGGGGACTATGTTTAACATGAGACTTGCGGGCTGCTGTCAGGGCTGAGTTCACAGGCACCTCAGCACGGTGAGGCAGAGGCTAGCGACCATGTCTGCCCCACTGCAGCTCCACAGGGGCCTGGACAGCAGCCAAGGCTGGAAAAAGGCCAGCCTCTGCCACCCGGGCTCCCAAAGAAGTGGGTGGACACAGCCATCAAGTAAAAAGCCACTGCAGACTTCAGAGGACTAGCCGAGGAGTCTGGCTGGACAGAAGCCTCCCGTAGCCTCTGCTCTGTCGTAGCCTTAGCTGCTACAGCCACTGTGAGAGGCCACAGAGGGAAAGGGGACCCTGGTGCCGGGCGCCGCCGCCTGGGGACTGGCACTGTCGCTCTTAGTTTTGAACTTTCTGTTTTGTCTCTTGCCTGTCCGGTTTTAGTTCCTGAAATTAAAGAAGTGGTGAGCCACAAGTACAAGACACCAATGGTGAGTATGCCACCCCAGCCTGGTGGCCACAGTGCACAGGGCTCCCTGGGGACCTAGGACAGGAGGGGTGGGCTCTCTTGGGGACTTGGTCAAGATGCAAAGATTCAACTGAAGCAGGAACAAGTCTGCCACCCTGGGAGATAAACACACACGTACTGATCCCTCTCCCAGCAGGACACACACGAGGTCTGGCCTGGGGCTCCTGGAGCCCAGAGGCCGTGCCCAGAGCTAGGGCAGGAGCTGCCTGCCTGGCAGACCCTCCACTGTGCAGTTTGGGAGTCTCAGTGACTGATCTCCCTGTTTTCCTGTCCTCTGTAGGCCCACGAGATCTGCTACTCTGTGTTGTGTCTCTTCTCGTATGTGGCTGCAGTCCGTAGCAGTGAAGAGGACCTCAGAACTCCGCCCCGGCCTGTTTCCAGCTGATGGAGCAGGTGAAGCAGCTGGCCCATCCCAGGGCTCACCCCTTGCCTCCTGCTGCTCCCAAGTGCACCAAGTGACCGTGACTGAGAAGGGGATAATGGGTGTACGTTCTGCCAGCCCTGCGCTGTGGCTTCACTGGTCCCCAGTTATACGTCTTTTGAGTGTGTCTTTGCGTGTGTCTGTGACAGAGCTAAGCTAGTCCCTTCCACCTTCTCCCTGTCCTTACCCAGAAGACCAGCCTACTGTTCCCTCAGGGCTCAAGAGTGTGTTGCGGGGGACAGTGTGAATCCACCCTTGCGTGTCCTTGAGACATTGTGTTGTGGTTCCTCGTCCTCGGCATCATGATCCTCCAGTGCAGGATTCCTGCTCCCCGTCCTCTGTGATCTAGCATGACAGGGCGCCTTGGGCAGTTCCACTCTGGGCAGTGAGGGAAACCTGGCCTGCCCTTCCAGACGAGGGGTGGGCAGGAAAAGGAAAGCAAGAGGCTGGGGCAGCTGGAGTGAGTGGCAGCCTCCCAGCTTCCCTGTGCATTTCCCAGTGGCAGCTCCTACCTGTGGCCATGAGCTCTGCTGCTGCCCACCACAGCTCCATTGCCACCGCGGGGCAGCACTGAGGGGCCACTGTGTGCCGAGCAGCGATTTTCCTATGGTCAGCCTGGCCTTTGGCATGAGAAGACAGAGTGATTGGGGCAATAGAGTCCCAGAGACCGCTGGCTGCTCTGCCAGACACCAGGGAGAGGCGGCCAGGACCAAGTTCATTGTACACGCCCGTATGAGGCAGTGTCTCCTGGTGTCAGGTGCCAGGAGAGAAAGATGGCCTGGGGGTGGGGGGATGATTGTAAATATCTCAGCTCCTCGTTATTTATAGAAAATGTACAGCTGTGTGAATGTGAAATAAATGTCCTTAACTCCCCTGGTCCTTGGTTGCCTTGCATTAAATGACACCTCCTCTCAGCCCAGGCTTGAGGAACCTTGTGTTAAATGATGCCTCCTCTTGGCCCAGGGCTGAAGAGGCTGTCCCTGGACTCTAAGAAACCACCATGGAGTAAAAGAATGAAGGAGATAAGGTCATCCATGACCGGGCACTGGTGTATGAGGCCCCGGCTCCTGCCTCCTGCTCTCTGGGCTTGGGATCCCAGAGAGAGGCTGTGGGAGGAAGCTCCTTTTTCCTGCAGCACCAGGGGGCCCTGTGGGGGCTGGGACGCTGTGAACTGGCCACTAGAGGGAGCAGCCAAACTGGTCATTGACACGTGAACAAATTAATTTAACAATGACAGAAAAGCCAAGCCCATGGTCCCCTGTCCCCTAGAGTCCAGAGAGATACTGTGACATGGCCTGGGCCACTCTGGGCTCTTGGCCAGCATTGTGTCTCCCGTGGGTTAGAACGCTAAGAAACAACCCCAGGACCAGCCTTTGTGAAATTTCTATGCCATGGGGGAAACTGGCACTCCCTCACTGCCGGGCCACCTCTGAGACCTGCTAGATTTCCCCTCCAACAGGGAAACAGGCCTGATGGTGCTGAAGCTCCTGGCCCTTTCCCCGCCTGCTTCCCAGCATCCCGAACTGGATAGGCCCCGTCTCCCACATGAGTGACAGTTGGGGATGGGCTCCTTGCTCACTGTGACGCCAAAGCAACCTGTCAGCTCTCCTCACAGGCCTCGTGGGCACAGAACTTCATTAGGCTGCACAGTGCCCCAGGCCCAGGGTTCTGGGAAGGAAAGCCTGGGTCCAGCCATTACTGCCACCTTCCTCACCACAGCCTGAGTTGCCTCAGCTGAAGAGTGAATGCCTGAGGGAGGACCAAGGTCCCTCTTATGTGTTTTATAGATTCAGGATTCCACTGTGGGCTTTGTGTCATCATCGGGGAATTAGAAAACCTGCCAAGATCAAGTGCATGCCCCTATGTATTTCTGTGAAAATAAGCACACGGGGCAAGAAGAGTCAGTCCCGTGACTGCACTGGTCTTTTATTGCTCTCATACGTGGAGAAGATGTGCCCTCCTGAAGGGCCTACTCCCAATCACCACTTCCTAAGCCTACCCACTTTTTACCCCAGAGATCTGAGAGCTCCCTCAGCAGCTATCAAAGTTTCCTCTGTGCAGAGCCCACTAGGCTTGCCCACCTAACTGCTGCCCTTCCTGTCCCTCCCTAGTCCAGCCCAGAGTACACACACACACACACACACACACAACAGCAGGAAGACGGCTCCTCCAGCACCTCTCCAGGCTCCTGGCACGTGGGCTGGCATCCAGTTGTACCTGTGACACAGGCTCCCTTTAAGTAGACAGGTTTCCTGATGGCCACCCCTGGACCAGGGGCCAAGGCTCAGCTTCTTACTTGAGCCCTGGGTGTTAGGGTGGTCTGAAATACGTACCTGGCTGCCCCTGGGAGCCAGCCTGGTCACTGAGGCACTGTAGGAGAGAAGGAGCCCATGCCACCTGAGACTTCCCAGTTTTTCAGAAGTCAGGACCCATCAGACATGACAGGGCCAGTACTCTGAGAGTCAGAGGAAGCACTTAGGCCAGAATGGCCGAGTCGAGCCCAGGTTCCCCACCCCTGCCCTGCTTTCTGCACCTCCAAGGCTCTGGGTAGGCTTAGGGAGTGATGATTGGGAGCAGGCCCTTCAGGCTCCTCACCTCTCACCTCCAGACGGCACTCACACTGTGCCTCGCCCTGCAAGTTGGTGGCCCTGCAGACATAGACACCCCCGTCAAAGGGGCAGGGCTTTCTAATCTCCAGGGTCAACACTCCCTGCTTGCTGAACATGCGGAAGCGGGCATCTTCTCCCAGGTCCAGGCCATTCTTGAACCAGGAAATCTTGGGCTGTAAGTCAGGTAAGGAGAGGGAAGAAGGGAGAGAGGGAGGGAGGGAGGGAGGAAGAGAAAGCATCTCAGGCAAGAGGGGACCAGACAGGAACCCAGGGAGACTGGCATTGCTCTGGGGGCTTCCACTGGAGTCCCAAACTACTCCCAAGGCTGGGAATGAACCTGGAGCCAAAGTGAGTACCAAGGGGAAGGAAGCTGATAGGTCCCTGGGGGAGCAAAGGCAGAAAGAGGCGGGCTGGGGAGAGGACCCTGCCTCCTGGACCAGGGCCCCCAGTCCCTACCTTGGGGCTACCCCGGACAGCACAGCAGAGGACAGTGTTGTAGCCCGCGATGACTGAGCGGTTCGCCAAGGGATGGGTGAAGCTAGGAGCCTCAGAGAAGTCCAGGGCCTTGTATTTGGGTGGCTCATATGTGATGCCTGTTGGTGATAGGACTAGTACCAAGAGAGCCACCTCAAGCTAGGCTTCCCTCCCTACACAACTCCCCTGGGGTGGGAGTGAGGGTACAGCACCTGGTCTGGGGATAAAGACAGGCTCCTTGGTGGTGGCTGCCCTGTCGCTGGGACCCACCATGTTATGGCTGAAGACCCGGAAATAGTAGCCATTGCCAATGATGAGCTCGGACACCACACAGTGGGTACGGCGGTAATGCTCCAAGACAGTGAACCATTCCTGGGGGGCGGGAGGCAAGGGAGGGATCTCTGGGTCCCCCCTGCCAGGGGTCTCTTGGGAACCCCTGGTGACTCCGCCCCTACTGTGAAGGGAGCCAGATCAGCAGAGGTGAAAGGGGACAAGTGGTAAGGACAGGGAAGGACAGCTGGACCTCAGGATGACCCATGGGGCCTAGGCTCACCATGGTCTTCTTGTCAGCTTTCTGTACTGTGTAACCCCAGATCTCTGTGTTGCCATCATCTTGGGGTGGCTTCCACTCCAGAGCCACATTGAAGCCCCAGGCCTCAGTGACCCGAATATCCTGAGGAGGACTTGGTTTGTCTGCAGGAGACAGATCTGGTTGGATCACTGCACCTTCTGATGCTGCCTGAGCAAGAGCCGGTGGCACCAGCCCCTGGGAGTCCCTCCCTCTGCCAGCCAGGACCTGGCCGGCCACCTTCAGCAGGGATGGAAAGTGGGATGCTGTGGGTTGAGTCTCCAGGCCTGGCCTGGGCCCCACAGCCCAGCTCAGGCATGAGAGACAACTGGGCTCAGAGGAAGGTCCCGGGGCCACGCACCCACGATCTGCAGGACCAGCGTGGCCTTGTCCTCCATGTTCTCGATGCGCACTGTCACCTGGTAGGTGCCTGAGTGCATGCGGTGGGCAGCCCGAATGAACAGGATGGTGTCCGTGGGGCTGTTGCGGATGCTCACCTCCTCGCCTGCCAGTGGCTGCCCCTCTTTGGTCCAGGTCACCTGAGGCCGGGGCTTGCCCTAGTGGGAAGGACTGCTTAACCCTGAACTGGCTCTCTCCAAGGGCTGGCCACTACCCCAGCCTCAAGTACATGGATGAGGCCGCCGGGTCTGGTCAGTCTTGAGCCATCCTTCTGTTGGATGTGGATAACACAGTGTCCTCTCCCCTCAGGGACAGGGAATGGGGCCAGCCTACCTGAAAAGGAATGAGGAGGTTCACAGGCTCCCCGACCTTCTTCTGGATGGTCTGGCGCAGGTGCCTGGGCAGCTGAAGCCGTGGCCGTTCTTTAGGTACAGAGGGGGTGTCTGAGCAAGGGCCCTTAATGGCCCCAGCCCTAAGGGGCTCCAAGCCCATTCTCTCTTGAGGTCGGGCCCAGATGGCTGCAGCTAAGAAAAAGCTGCCTGCTGGGCGGAGCAACCCAAATCCGCTCAGCCCCAAATGATTCACAAAACTCCTGCTTCCCTTGAGCTTTACCACACTGCTTCAAGAGGCAGGAATCAGAAAGGGTAAGCAACTTGTTTGAGGCTGCACAGCTGATAAATCACAGGTTTTGAGACACTCTGCTCTCTGCTGCCTCTTTTCCATCTAGAGAACCAATTCTCACATGATTGATCCTTTGTTGGGACAAGGAATAGAGGAATAGGAAGTGGATCCCAGATGACCTTATCTGATCCCAAGGCCCAGTGCCTAGTCCTGGGACATGGACAATACATTCCTGTTGGAGATGAGGAACTCACAGCACAGAGCTTGGGGATTGTGGCCTATATTCTCCCTGTTCTAGAACTGGTGGGCTGACATGGAAAAAACAGGACCATTAGACATGGATGAAGGCCTGGCCCCTCCTCTGACAGTCTCCCTGACTGTTCCCACAGGACATCAAGGGCCTGGAGTGTCAGTAGCAGGTCTTGTGATGAGTGGCACTCACGCAGTATCTCCTGCACTGTAACAGGTTCCTTGGTGGTGACAGGGGCTCCAGGTCCTGCTACATTGTGTGCCCGCACACGGAACAGCAGCCGGGCCCTGGTAGGCAGGTCCTTCACCAGCATGGCTGTGCGCTCTGTCAGCCCCTGCAGGGCAGCCACCCACTCAGAGCCTGGGAGGGGGCAGGGAGGTCAGGCCACAGGCTGTGTCATACCCACCCTGCTGCCCACCCTTCCGAAGGCCGTCTGGGGGCCAGCAGGGTGCTGGTGCCGGCCTGGCAGGGGGCAGCGCCCCAGGCAGCACTCACAGCCCTCCTGGCAGTATTCCACACTGTAGCCGTCCAGGCCACCCGCGCCCACGCGTTCTGGAGGCCGCCACTTGAGAGAGACTGTGGTGTCCGAGACGTCCTCCACGGCCAGGTGGGTGGGTTCACCGGGAGGGCCTGGGAAAGGGGAGGACAGAGAGGGTCTGAGTGAGCTTGCTCTGTCCAGGAAACCTGGAGACCCATGACCCAGACCCTCAAGGGCTCGCCAATCTCAGCCTGGTGGACCTGCCCTTCGGCTGGCTTTCACACACTTTCAGGAATATTTCCACTGCATTAAAAGCTCTCTAGGCTGGCTTACAAACAAACAGCAACTACAAAAGAAGGGCCTAAAGAGGAACAGATAGCCAAGAGGACACACGGCTGCTTACAAGGAGCCACCTCTGTCAGTGTCTGGAATGCTATAAATGCAGTATTATAATAATAGTAAAAAAAGGTTGGCCAGGCATGATGGCACATGCCTGTAATCCCAGTGGCTTGGGAGGTGGAGGCAGGAGGATTGCAAGTTCAAAGCCAGCCTCAGCAACTTAGTGAGGCCCTAAGTAACTCAATGAGACCCTGAATCTAAATCAAATACAAAGGAGGCCTTGGGGCTGTAGACTGGGTGGAGCGCCGGGTGGAAACCATGGGTGCCTCTCGTCTGGCTGCCACGCTCCAGAGGGAAACTGCTGCTTGCAGTGATGCAGCTCACAGGACAATGGACATCAGCACTCCTGATCCCAGAATTCTGCAAACAGTTTTACCATCTGGGTTGGGTCACTGGGACTGGAGGAGGAATTAGCTTGAAGCATGGGACTGCATAAATTTCTTCCTACACCAAAGACCTATGAGTCCACTTGTCCGTGGAGCAATGAAATCTACTCCTTTTTCTTAGCTGCAGCCATCTGGGCCCGACCTCAAGAGAGAATGGGCTTGGAGCCCCTTAGGGCTGGGGCCATTAAGGGCCCTTGCTCAGACACCCCCTCTGTACCTATTGCTCCTTCAGGAGTGCAAAAGGAATGAATTCACCAGAAGATGTGATTGTGATATAAATGAGCAGGATATCAGTGGACCTCCAGCATCTAAGAAGCTAAAAAAAAAAAAGCCAGTGCGCTCCTCTTTTATTGAGAGATTACACAGTGAGAGAAGCAGGCACTCTAAAGCTTCTGTCATGGCCACCCTCCTCTTTCTTTTCTTTTTCTTTTTTTCTTTTTGATCATCTCTTGATCAAAAGAATAAGGAAATAAACCTCAGGAAGGTATTTTAGATATGATTATATGTTAGTGTTATCTATTATTGAGAACACACCTGAAGGAAAAGACCTCAAAGAACGAATGGCCCGTGCAATGAGTGAATACCTGACTCCTGTGCAGTCAGGCGCCATGAAGTGTGTGGGGGGGGAGAAACAGGGGAGAAGGCTAAAACCAGGTGTGAAAGCTATGACTGTTTGCTATTGCTGTATCGATGAAGAAACTAGGACTTGAACCTACACAGCTCCCAACTGGAGAAAATGGAATGGTAAAAGCCAAACAAAAGTTTAATTATACAAAACCAAACCTGATTATTGTTTAAGTAAAACTTGACCATTTTTTAAATGACTCAAAAATTGCTAAAACACCATTAATTTGTCCCTAAATACTACAAGTGATCACATTTAATCTTTTGACATTGAATGGTATTTGCTCATATCCATGTAATTTTAAATGACAGGGCAGTGGAATAAAAGTTTTTTACTCGGTGTTTTTATATTTAAAAAAGCAGGGGCTGGGGATGGGGTTGAGCAGCCCTGGATTCACTCCCTAGTACCCAAAAAAAAAAAAAAAACTGATATAAAACAGAATATCCTATATGATTCAGTGAGCTGCACAAACCAGATGTCAGTCTCAAAGGAAAGCCTGGACCCTCTCCCCACAGACACACCTGATACCTGCCATCCCCCCACTCTGGGCCTCCTCTCTGGGCCCAAGGATGCCTTGCCTGCCCTGCCACAGACAGCTGGTTCTTGAAGAGGAGGTGTCCTCACATCCTCCAGCATCTGTTCCACCCTCCCAGCTCCTATTACACGGATGAGGAAACTGAGGATTCAGGGAGACAGTGATTCCAGATGGCCTCCTGGGGACCACGGAGCTGTCTCTGCAAAACACGCCTCTGATTATTGGTCCAGGGCTCTTTCCACACACAGATGCCCTTCAGACTCCTCAGGTCCCCACTTCTCTTGCCCCATCCCATACATGAAAAACCTGGGTTGAAGGGAGTGGCCAACAGAAGACAATGCAGTATGCCAGGCACCCTGTCCGCATTACCACATTTCACCCTAACAGCAGCTCTGTGAAGTGCAGTGTCACTATCCTCACGGTGCAGATGCGGAAACTGAGGCTGGGAAAAGGAGCCAGGGTCAGGATGGTTTGGCTCAGTTCCACCCCCACAGCTATCTGCAATAGCCAACAGTCTGAGGTGGGGGATCTGGAGCAGGCCATTGAACTCCTCCCAGCCTCAGTTTCCTCATCTGTAAGACGGGACAGATTATCCCCGACTGCACATTAGATGAGACCAAGGATGTAAGTAAATGTCTAGCGTGGCGGCCGCCTATTAGCAGAGCAGCTGCGACTACGTGGCCCCTTGACCGTGATGGCCTGGGGACGGCGCCAGCAGGGCAGGCTCACCGATAGGCATGAAGGGCTGGGAGGCAGGGCTGGGCCTGGACATGCCCACGGCGTTAACTGCGTAGACGCGCATCTCGTAGGCCACGCCCTCGATCATGCGCCTGGCCTCGTGGCTGAGCTCCCGCAGCAGGTCGAAGTTGAGCCGCATCCACCGGTAGCTCTTTTTCTTCTTGCGCTCCAGGATGTAGCCTGGCCAGGGTGACGCGGGATCTCTGGTCAGGGGCCCAGGCATTGTGGGGCGGCTGCCCTTGGCTGACCCCTGTGACCTGGTGCTCACCCAGGACCGGCTGTCCGCCATCGTAGGCAGGCGGCTCCCACTGCACCGTGCAGGAGTCCTCGCCCACGTTGCTGATCTTGGGGGCCGCAGGGGCATCTGGCACATCTGGAGAGAAGGGAGGACCCACATCAGCCCTGCCCCACGCAGGCTTGCTAGTCCCTGACCATCCCAACCAACAACTCCAGGCTGCTTCCACTCCCCTAAAGCCAAAGAGATCTTTCTAGAATGCGTTTCTGATGATGTCTTAGGCCTGCACTCAGCCCCTCTGGCTCCCTGCTGCCCAGAGTCACCCCCATCCCAACTCCTATTCTCTACCTCCCCGGGGCCTCCACCTAGGAGGAATTCTGTCATCCATCCTGCATACCCCAAAGCCTTCCATGCCTTCTGCCCCTGCAGTCTCCTCTGCCTGGCCTTCCTTCCCCCACCACCCCATCTTCTCAGCCTTCTACCACCCCCTGCCTCCAGGCACAAGTGATTGCTGCATCTCAGCACCCCCACAGCACTTCAGACTCGGCTCACAAGCAGTAATGTCGCAGGAAATGGCATTTCTGCTCCATCTCCCCCTAGCACAAGGCTCCTTGCAGGCAGCAAAACCTGCTCCATCTATTACACGGCCCAGCCCAACACATGTCCTGTGACATTCATTGAGGGACTGAATAAGTGAATGGGCCCTCCCTAGGGTTGCTCTTGCATCTTCTCTGGCCTGGACCTTGCTGGCCTCACCGATGACCTTGACTGTGAGGTTGACCTGGTCCTCGCCCACAGGGTTCTTCACTGTGACAGTGTAGACACCCTCATCCTCTTTCTCTGCCCCTTCAACTGTGAAGATGCTGCGGTCCTTGGTGGTCTCCACATGGACCCGGCCCTCAGTCTCACATAGCAGCTGAAGGGGAGGAGAAGCGGAGAGAGGCCCAAGTCAGACTCCAGAGGCCCCCTGAGGCCCCTCCAGCCTCTGCAATAGCCAACAACCCTGAGGTGGGGAGGAACTCAGCACCAGATCCGTGGGAAGTCCAAGCCTGAAGGAAACTGCACCCAGGAAAGCATCCAGTTGGAGACCTTCACGTGGCACCTACACTGGGTAGGACACTGGGCCAAGGGGCTCTAGCTCTAGCTTTGGCTTTGTCTTAGGACCTTGGACAAACACCTCTGTGCCTCAGTTTCCCTGTTCACTGGGAATAATACCATCCCACAGAGCTACTGTAAGGATCCATCAAGATGCCAGGTGCAGAAGGAGCGGTGGCACTGCCTGTAATCCCAGCGGCCAGGAGACCAAGCCAGCCTCAGCAAGAGCAAGATGCTAAGGAGCTCAGCGAGACCCTGTCTCTAAATAAAATACAAAATAGGGCTGGGGGTGAAGCAGACCTGGTGCCCAGGCAGCTGCAGTGACTGGGGGATGCCAGGGAAACCCACTCCCTCGCTGGGAGGAAGCCCCAAGTCAAGGGAGCCGGCAGCCCCATCACAAGGGCTTCCTGTCAAGGTCAAGGGCATCAATGCCTTTGTGAGGGCCTGGTCAGTTACTTACTCCATAGTGTAAGTGTACCTTGAGGTGTGAGGGTTCATCCATGGAGACCCTGCCTGGGCAGGTACAGGTACATATGTGGCCAGGTGTGGAAGTCCATGGAACCTTTGCCCGAGTGGACAGCACACGGGTAGAAATGACGGAGAACAATGAGCCATGTCCTTACATCAGCCTCACTCACCTTCTTGTCAAACACCCACTCGTCACTGGCACCTGCGTCCTCTGGAGCATCCGGGGCTGGCTGGGCTGGGGCCTTCTTCCCCTGGGGACAGAGCAAGACGGGAGTAGGGAACAGAGGGGCTCCTCATCCCCAGCCCCTCCTGCCCGCTACCTGACACCTGCCTAGTCCTTCCTCACGTCCAGCAGAACCCCAAGCTCCCAGTGGGTGGCCGGCCCCACGTGGGGTGGGGTGGGTGGTCTCACACACCATTACAGATGGGAAAGTAAGGGGGAGCCACAGTACCTGGGTGATGGTCTTCTGCCAAATCACAGTGGGAGCAGGGTCCCCAGAGATTGGGACATCCAGGCGCAGCTTGTTCCCAGCCACAACCACAATGGTATCCGGTGTGCGGCCCGGGCAGTCCAGGTGGATCTTGGGAGGTTCTAGGGTGCAATGGCACAGGTCAGAAGAAGGGGAGGGGCAAGGGAGGAGACAGGTCACTGGGAGGGGGCACTGGGGCCTATGTTATTGGTTTTTTTGGGGTTTTTTTAAAGATACTTTTTTTTTAGTTGTAGTTGGACACAATACCTTTATTTTATTTATTTATTTTTATGTGGTGCTGAGGATCGAATCCAGGGACCCTTATGTGCTAGGCAAGTGCTCTACCTCTGAGCCACAATTTCAGGCCCTGTTATTGGGTTTTCATCAGTTTCACTCAAGTGTCATTTACGCAGAGTTAAATGTACAGATATGAGCATAGTTTTATGAGTTTTGACAAATGTATACACTTGTGTAACCACCAACCCAATTGAGATCTAGAACATTCCATTGCCCTAGGAAGTTCTTTGGGATGTTTTTAACATTCAGGTCACCCTGGTGCAGCATTGTGCTTGGGGGAACACACACACACACACACACACACACACAAACAGCTTCCATGGCCAAAAAAATTAGAAGCCCTGAGTGAAATCAAGTCCAGTGTGTTTCCTTTCTGCAGAACTTCTCAGAGCCTTTAACATATCACTGACCTCCTGAATTGACAGGGAGGTGGATCAATTGAGTGTTTCCCAAATCTACTTCACCGTGGAACCCTTTTTCAATGAGTTAATGTTAACTGAACCCAGTTTGAAAAGCAGGGAGCTGGACAGAACAGGCCTCCTCCTGGACTATTCTGAAGTGAGAACACTAAAATATCTGATTAAGGCTTAACCTAGGGCTGGGGCTGGGGCTCAGTGGTAGAGCACTTGTCTAGCATGTGTGAAGCCCTGGGTTCAATCCTCAGCACCACATAAAATATAAATAAACAAGTCAGGTGTGGTGGTGCACTACTGTAATCCAGAGGTTTGGGAGGCTGAGGCAGGAGGATCACTCAGTTCAAAGCCAGCCTCAGCAAAAGCAAGATGCTAAGCAACTCAGTGAGATTCTGTCTCTAAATAAAATACAAAATAGACCAGGGGATGTGGCTCAGTGGTCGAGTGCCCCTGACTTCAATCCCTGGTACCCCAAAATAAATAAATAAACAAACAAGCAAAATAAAGGCATTGTGTCCATTTAAAAGTAAAAAAAAAAATAATTGTATAGAGATGTAATAACAAAACCTCACATCTGCAACACCTTTTGACATCTCGCACAGTCTCTTATCCCCATAACCACGCTGTGGAAGATGCGCCAGCAACACCCCCATTTCAGAGTTGAGGAAACTGAGGCCAGAGAGATCATAACTGACGGCGGGGACGAGTGGCAGAGCTGGAGCTGGTCCTCAGGCCCCCCACCCAGGACCCTTGCTCTTCCCCATGTCTGGGGTGGACGGGAGACTTGGCTGCGTGTGGGGAAGTGGGCAGAGCCCAGGGACCCCGGGACTCACCCTGTCTGGGCACAAAGTCAATCTTGACCTCTGCAAGAGAAACAAGAGTAAATGGCACCAGGGCCAGGGCAGGGACCAGCCCCGAGGGCTCCTGGTCCTGCTGCCCCCACCGCACCCTGGAGCTGCTCACCCATGAAGTGCAGTTTGGCTGACAGGTTGCAGGCGAAGCCCTCGGGCACAAAACTGTAGTCGGCCTCGTCCTCAGGTGTCACATCGTCAATGGTCAGCTTGTGAACCCTGCAGGGCAGCAGTGGCTCAGGGGACCCCACTGGGCCATGCACCCCTGGCCCCACAGATACCCTGCTCCTCTGTGTTCTGGCTCTTTAAAAATGCTCCATTTCTCCATTTTCACATTTCCCAGCTCCCTCGACTGTTTTCACAGGTGGGCGGCATGACAGTGGTTTCTGCACAGTGTCCCCTTGGCCGGGCCCTAGAGGCCAAGCAGGGCTGGTCGGTAATCTCTGTGACCTCGGGCCCAGCACGGCAGCCTAGATGCGCAGCCAGGAGCAGAGGCCTCTGGCCAGAGCCCGCCTCCGCAGCAGCCTGTCCCCGGGCTCTGGTCACAAGTGGGGGGCAGGGCATGGGCTCTGACCCTGCGGATCTGGTACTGCTCGGTCCTGCTGCGTCTCTGATGGACTCTCCCCCGTCTCTCCCTATTTTTCTGTCTCCGTGTAACTCTCCTCCCGTCTCTTTTCCTCCCTCGCCGTCTCGTCGTCTCTGCCTGTCTCTCTCCCCATCTCTGTGTGTCTCCATCCGCCTGCCCCCCCACCCCCTGCACTCACCGCCCAATGTGGGACACCTTTATGCGACTGTCGGGCACCAGCTCCTTCCCATTCTTCAGCCACACGCCGCGCACGTTCTCATCGGAGACCTCACACTTGAACACAGCCTGGTCCTTGGCGCCCACCGCCAGGTCCGCGATGCTCTGGTACACCTCCAGCTTTTTCTCTGGGGGGCAGGCGGGGACAGTGAGCCCGGGAGGGGGTCGGGTGCGGGGGTCAATCCCTGCGGGTGCTCGGGTACCTCGTGCTCGTCTGCCAGGTGCGAGTACGTGAACACGTGTGTGCATGTGTGACGTGGTGTACCTGGTGGTGCCGTGTACACAAGGGACCTGGGGTTCAGCTGCCCAGCCCAGCTGGCCCTCCCAACACCCTCTGAAGTGGCTCCTCAGTAATCCTGTTTTACAGGTGGAAAGACAAGGCACAGGTAGCCAAGTGACAGCTCAAGGTCACACAGCCTCGACCCCAGGTTTGCCTGATGGCTCCATGAGGCTGGGTGGGGTTGAGGCTGAGGGCCCGCTACCCCTCCCTGGGCCTCACCCTGCACGATGAGCTCGGCCAGCGCCTGGCCCCCGCTGGTGCGCAGGGCGTAGTGCCCGGCGTCCTCCAGCGTCGCCTCGTTGATGATCAGGTGGTGTCTCCGTCCGTCCTTCTTGAACCGGTATTTGAAGGTCTCCTCCCGGGTCAGCTCCACCCCATCTTTCAGCCTGGCCGGATGGGTGGGCAGCAAGGGCTGTGGCCTCCTCTGGGAAGAGGACCCCACCCGCGCCCTGACCACATCCCCAGGCCCCTGGCACCCACCATTTGACCTGGGCCCCCTCCTCGGACACTTCGCACTCAAACTCCACGCGCTGCCCCACCATCACCAGCTGGTCCTCCAGGGCCCGCGTGATCAGCACAGGGGGCTCTGTCCAGGCAAGGACAGCATGAGGGCCAGCCCCCCACAGCCATGGCTCCCTTCCCTGGGCCTCTGGGTCCCCAGCCCACCTTTGACGAAGAGCTCGGTGCTGCACTTCTCACCGCCCACCACGCACTGGTAGGCCGCGTCGTCGGCCAGCGAGCACTGGCTGATGGTCAGGGTGCGCTTGGTGCCAACAGACTCGAAGATGTACCTGCGCAGGGGCCACAGGGGAGTGCCGGGGGGGGGGCCACAGACGCCCTTCCAGCCTGGGTGCTCCATCCCATGCCCCCCGCCCAAGCCATCCAGGAGGGACTTACTTGCTATGAAACAGAAGGGGCCATTGGAGCGTCCCCACGGGAGGAAGTGAGACCCAGAGAGAGACCAAGAGGAGACAAGGGCAGAGTCAGAAAGATGGGAGTAGATCCAGGGAGGGAGCCATGGGGGAGGACACAGAGACACAGGGGTGGCGGGGCAGGGAGGATGGCCCGCCCGCCCCAGCCCAGGATCGCGCCCACCCTAGGATCGCGCCCACCCTGCCGCACCTGCCGCTCATCTGGATCTCCTGTCCGTTCTTAAGCCACTTGACCTCGGCGTCAGGGTTGGCCAGCTCCACTGTCAGCCGGATCTTGTGGCCCTTGCTCACCTGGTAGGCCGGCTGCAGCTTCTTCTGAAAGGCTGAGCACCACCCCTCAGCCCCAGCCAGCCTGCTGCCCGCACCCTGCTCCCCCAGGCACAGCATGGTGGCTGCGGCAGGCACCCATGTCCTCCGCCAGCCCCACGTCTCTCCCTGCCTCTGCCTCTGTGTCTCTATGACAGCTTTGCCATCTCTGTTCTCTCTCTCTCTCTCTCTCTCTCTTTCTCTCTCTAGTCTTGTCTTCCTTGAGGTCCTCTCCACCTGCTTGGTTTAGGGACAGGGTTAGAAGCTTCCAGAAAGAGAAGCTTGTCAGAAAGCCAGGGATGGGAAAATGGACCTCCTCTTCTTCTTGCCCCTGTTTAACAGCAGGGTTAAACAGTTCTGCACTCCTACCGGGTGCACCCCACCCAGCGCTCTCCAGCTCAGCTGTCGAGGCCAATGTCCTGTGCCCTGTGCTGCACGAGGGACACAGGAGTCAGGGATGACTGGCCCAAGGCCACCAGCCCCACTGGTAGTGGCCGAGCTGGGTCTGGAGCCCAGGGCTGGCCCACGATGAGCCTCCTCTTGCAGTCAGGACTGTAAACCCAGCACCGCGAGGGAGCCAGGCTCTACCTGCCACGCAGAGGAGGATCCCGAGCCCTCAGACGCCCTGGCTGGACCTCTGGGGCAGGAGCAGAGCTCTGCCTGGCGTTCTGTGGTCTTGAGCTAGCTCCTTAAACAACCTCTCTGTGCCTCAGTTTCCTCACTTGTAAAATGGACATGATAATGGCCCCTACATCTGGGTGTTGGGAGAAGCAAATAAGGTTTCATGTAAATCACTTGGCACCTGGCTTATTAGGTCCTGGGGGCTTTTTGTTGTCGTTGTTTTGTTTTTTACTGTTGTTACTCTCACTACAAGATGTGCCTGTCCCCTGGGACTTCCTCTGCCCATTTGCTGCTCCTCAGTCCCCTGCAGGCCTTGGCCAGAAGTTCAGAGGTTCATCATCAAGAGATTCCCGATACCAATGGGGGCCACCATGCAGGTCAGGGCTAGGCCGCCGTCCATGCAACCGGGTCTGAGAGGCAGTGGCAGGTGGCCAGGGAGGAATGAACCAGCTTCCCAGGAGCATGTGCGTGTGTGTGTGTGTGAGGGGAGGAGCTCACTTTCCATGGCCCTGCCTGGACACTGAAGGTCCTTACAGAGTGGACTCACTGTGTTGCAGGCACCATGCTAGACCCTGAGGACACGGGGTTGAGCAGGCAGCACGGCCACTGTTGTCCTGCTCACACCAGCCTTTGTCCATCAGATGATAGGGAAGGGCTAGCCTGGGCCCTCCTGCTTGACCTGCCTGGAAGGAAGATGGGCTACCCCATGGCCTCCTGCTTTGTCTATCTGTGAAGAGGACCAGGCGGCCGGCTCTCGGGCTAAGGCAGCCTCTTCCCTCTTCTTCCCAGGTGGGGAGGGGTAACCAGGTTTCTTCCCTTTTCAGAGAGGGTCAGAGAAAGAAGGGGCCCCCTAGTTTTGACACAGTGAGGAGGGTTAACTTGTGGTCCTCTCTGAGCTAACCTTGGCTTCATTTTCTGTCTGTGAGGAGCGGAGCTAACCTGGGCACCGGGAGGCGTTAACCTGGCCCTGCTCCTCTCCAGTCCCTAGGCTGAGCCAGGCTCCTACTCCTCTGTCCCTCTCTGGGCTGAGCCAGGCTCCTACTCCTCTGTCCCTCTCTGGGCTGAGCCAGGCTCCTTCTCCTCTGTCCCTCTCTGGGCTGAGCCAGGCTCCTACTCTGTCCCTCTCTGGGCTGAGCCAGGCTCCTTCTCCTCTGTCCCTCTCTGGGCTGAGCCAGGCTCCTTCTCCTCTGTCCCTCTCTGGGCTGAGCCAGGCTCCTCCTCTGTCCCTCTCTGGGCTGAGCCGGGCTCCTTCTCCTCTGTCTGTCCCTGGGCTGAGCCGGGCTCCTTCTCCTGTGTCCCTCTCTGGGCTGAGCCGGGCTCCTCCTCTGCCGCCCCGGGGGAAGGCTAACCTGTGCTCTTCCTCTCGTCGCGCTTCATGCCCTTGAGCCTCCGGAGCATGCCGCGCAGGTCGGTCACGCCGTGCTGGAAGGCGATGCGCTCGTACTCGGAGGGGGGTGCCTGGCGCAGGATCTCCCACACGTCCTCCTCGGCTGGCGCCTCCAGCTTTGGGTCCCTGTGTCCCGCAGGCCGTGCTGAGAGGTCGGGGCATCCCCTGTCGCCTGGGGGGTGGGGCTTCTGGGGACCCAGGACCTAGGAGCGGGGCTGCGCCTGCCCTCTGCCCCTTCCCTTCTGCGGGGGTCCGGGCAGAGTCTGGGGGCCCGTGGGGCTTGGGAGGCTGAGGCTGGGGAGGGGACCTGAGCTGCGGGCTTTGTGGGTACTCACCGCGGGGTCCGGAAACTGCTGCTCCAGGTGGGGTGGAGAGGGCAGGGACACATTAGAGGTCTGGGCACCTCCCCACCAAGACCCGGGCCTTAACCTCCTCCCACACTCGCACCCCAACATTTATGGGGTACCAATGACACGCTGGAGGGACCGGGCAGGACCTGCAGTGTGTGGCACCTTTCCTCGTTACCTCTAAAGTCCCATAGACACCTGGGTGGCATCGGGGGCACCAGGAGCAACCCGAGGCTCAGACTCACCCCAGGCAGTGGGGAGCCTCACCCTGGTCTGCGTCTCTCACCAGACCCTGGCAGAGACCGTGTGGATCCCCAAAGGGTCAGTTCAATGCCCACCAGCACCCTGCTGCCCCACAGCACCCAGACCCTGTTCCTTACTCTCTGGGCCGCAGCGACACCAGCCACAATGGAGGAGCCGGAGGAGAGGGAGGGAGAGGACAGAGAGAGAGCACAGGTTAGTAGGGCCAGGCTGAGGGACAATTCCTGTATCCTCAGGGACCCTCTCTCAGCCTGTCTGGGTCCTAAGAGTCTACTACAGTGCACTGTGAAGGACACTGAGGATGGCTGTTCACACATCTGCACAGACTTTTAACTCTTTCCTATGCAGGAACCACTCCTCTGGATAGACATGGAAACCAGCTCAGAGAGGCACAGTGAGTTTCTCAGGCCACACAGCTAGAAAACCACAGTGCTGGGATTTGAAACTGGACCTCAATACCGGCACCAGAGATGACTCCCTGGGCCTCACCTCTTCTTCAGCAGGGAGCTGAAGTCCAGAGTCCCAGTGTCCTCGTGGCTGTCACTATGGAGAGAGATTCCTATGAGGATTCATTGGAGGGGACTGGAGGCAGCTGGGTCCAGTGTGTGGGAGGAAGAAAGGCTGGCCAGATGGGGCTCCCTGCCCATCCCACGCCCCCAGGGTCTGTGTTCAGAGCAGGTGGGGCTGGGGAAGGGGTACCTGGTTCGCCGACCTCCTCCGGCCAGGCTCCTGTGGGGATCAGAGAGTATCCTCACCTGCCAGGGCAGCTCACCGGCCCCCACCTCCCTGGACTGTGTCCCCTCCCCCACCTCACCCCCAACCCTGACTCCACGGGCCTCAGCCTCCATCACTGGCCTCCCCAGGCCATTAGGAGAGACGGCCACTCACGTGCGGCGGAAAGCTGATCGGAGGTCCAAGTCTCCGGGGCCAATGGCCTCTGGGACCACAAAGGAGACAGGAGAGGGAGCTTCAGGGGGGCCGCTGGAGAAGCCCTTCCCTGGGGTCTCTGAGTATCCACAAGATCTGCCCATCCAGGTCCCCCTGAGGGTGGGCATCTTTCCCAGGACCCCACTTTCTCCGCCTTCCACAGGTCAAGTTACCAGGGAGTGTGACATTTATGGCCCCTAACCCCATAGGGGCAGCCCCACTGACCTCACCTCAGTTTGTCCTTCGCCTCCCCCACAACACTCGATGGCTCTGTGCCAAGAGCCAGGGACACCAAGAGGACTAAAGCAGAGTCCACCCCAGCTGACTTCAGGACTCTGTCCCAAGCCCACCCCCAAAGCTCTGTGGAGGTCCCCCACACCGTGAGCAAGCCGCCCGGGGATGGGTCAGCACTGGGGATGGGTCAGCACTGGTGTCTGGCCAAGGCCAGGTACCCTCCTTAGAGTTGGGAAACAGAGGCAGATATGGGAGGCCAGGGCCCCCGGGGACGACGAGCCCAGGACAGACACCAGGCGCCCCTCACCGTGGATGGTGAGGTTGAAGTTGCAGCTGTCAAATTTGTCCTTGGTGGACACCTCGCAGCGGTAGCCACCAGCAGAGCTGGCCTGGGCATCGGTGATGTGCAACTCAAACAGGTAGACCTGTGGGGTAGGTGACTCAGGAGACTGGGGCCAGGAGATATTGTCCTTCCCCCCAAAGGCAGACTGGGCATGGCAATGCCTCCCAGCCTTCTCATGCCCCCAGGGTCAGCTAACCCATGTGGAGCTTTGTATAAACTAGAAAAAGGCTCCACCTCTCAAGACCGTGAGGCGGCTACAAGGCCAGCGGTAGCCGCTTAATATAAGGCCATTTGGGGCAGTGCACAGCCTGCGCAGCTGGATATGTTGGCCCTGCCCTGCTAGAGTCGTCCTTGTCAGTGGTGGACTGTGCAAGACTGAAAGAAGCAGAGACTAGGAGTCAAAGCACAGGGAGCTTAAGGTTCTAGGCCTGTGGGTGACCTTGGAGAAATGACTTTGCATCTCCAGCCTTGGTTTCTTTGTCTAATGAGGAATGGTTCTGGCCAATCCCTTGAGCTCTGATACCCATCCACCCAAGGACTGGACCAGCTCCCAAGCTGGTCTCCCCCAGGGTTCCCGGGACTCCCCAGCCTTCCTGAGTTCCCAGGGGTCCCCTAAGTCCCCCACAACCCTCTCTCAACCTCGCCATGCTCCCTGTGTGCCCTGGTCCCTGACCCCTGCACCTCCCAGTCTCATGCTGTCCCCTGTACCCCTTGTGCCTCCCGGGGGCTCTCCAGGTCCCCTGCCCAGTGTCCCCAGGGCACCGTCCCCAAGCCTCCCGCAGGCTCGGACTCCCACCTTGCTGGCCCGGTCGTAGCTGTCATGCAGCTGCAGGTGCTGGCCCACCTTGCTGCTCAGGTCCACCCACTTGCCCTTGAACCACTTGACGGTGGGTGGCTTCAGGAGGCTGGCCCCGGCCACTCGAGCTGAGAAGGTGATGCTGCCCCCTGCCAGAGAGGGTGATGTGCTGGGCTTGGGGTGCCCTGCTGCCTCCCTCCCACACCAGCCCTGGGCGGAGCCGCCCACACTCACCCACCGTCACCTCGCCATCCTGCGGCCGCATCACGAAGAGACCAATGGGATCATCAGGGGCTCCAGAGCCCCCAGGGGCAGGGCCATGGGGGGCTGCTGAGCTTGACCCTGTGAGCAGAGGCCTTTGAGACTTGCCCTGGGACACCCCTTCCCGCTGGCCCTGTCCAACCCCTTTCACCTTCGGGACTTGGGGCGCTTCCTTCCGGCTCAGTAGCCAGGGCTTCTCCTGGGGCTGCTGGGGCCTCTGCAGGGGCCTGGGCAGGGGCTGGTTGGGGCTCTGCCTTCTCTGGAGGGGGCAGAGTGGGGTCAAGGCCTGGTTTCTAATCAGGGAGCCCCCATGTCTCCTGGCATCAGCCCCATGAGCCCCCAGTCTGCGAGGCTTCTCACTTGGATGATAGTGTCCAGATCCCTCTGGGCCACGTCCTCCTGTCCCCTGCGCCTCTCCCAGAGGTGGCACAGCCTGGCCCCGGGAGCCAGCCTGCATCTTGCCTTTCATTCACCCTCAGACTGAGCGCCCAGCACGGCCCTCAGGTCCACCCTGCTCTCCTCCCCCAGCCTGGGCTGGGCTCCCCGGGTGCCCACCTCCAGGGCTTCCCTGCCAGCATGGGGCCTGCCAAGTGGCCATCTGCGTGTGGGCCCCGGCCAGGCGGCTCCACAGAGGGCAGGCTGGGCCTCCTTCCCACCTCGGCAATGGCAGGAAGGGACCCGGGAGGCACTGGGGTGTGCAGAGGGGAGCAGGCAGCCAAGGCCAAGAGCAGGGCAGCTCCGGTGCCCCCAGGGTGGCCGACCAAGCTCCTACCTGCTTCTATGACCTTGAGGTCAAACTTGACTTTGGAGGAGCCTGCAATGACGGCGTAGCAGCCCTGGTCAGCAGGGCCCACGTCCTGCACGGTCAGCGTGTGCCGCCTGCCCTCGGCCACCAGGCAGTACTTGTCACTGGCGGCGATGTCGCTGCCCTCTCGTTGCCAGCGCACCTTCACTCCTGCACGCTCTGTCTCCGCCTCAAACACCGCAGGGCTGCCCGCGGCCACTTCTGTTGACCGCGGCTTCTTGCTGAAGGCAGAGGCTGAAAGGCCAGTCGGAGACTACAGGGGTGCCTGGCTCACTGTGCACCCTGCAGCTGCTATCACTAAACCCTGCGCCCCGGACTTTCCATGGACCTCCTCATTTAACATGAGTTGGGTGCGGTCACGTTCATTTCTCAGACGAGGACACTGAGGCGCAGAGAAGTTAGGCTCACACAGCCAGCAGAAGAGACAGGGCTGTGGTCCTAACTGCCACACAAGACTGTCACTAGATCCCCCACCCTTCTTGCCTGGGGACACCAATAGCGAACCCAGCCCCCACCAACAGGGGCCCTTGGCAGGGGGCCAGTACTCCGTCTACTTGGAATGTGGCTAAATTTGTCCTTCAAGGGCCTCAGGCTGAGAATCAGCAACTGAGATAAAGCTGGCCTGGGAGGGGGCAGGGGTTGGGGGCCTGGATCCCTGCCCTGGACAACCTTAGCAAGGACACAGCCCTGGTACAGGACCAATGGCTGTGATTTTTCTCTGCCCTTGTCCTGGAATTGGGGCCTCTTGACGGTTTTCTCCCAGAAAAGAGGGGTTGCATCAGACTCAGCGAGGAGGTCACACCTGGTGTGAGCACTCCAGGGGCGCAGGCTCACAGAGCAGATAATGTCACAGGGGTAAGGAGCCAGCCCAATCCCTCTCTGCATCTATGGAGAAATCAAGACCCAGAGAGGGTAGGCAGGGTCCCACGGCATGCAGGCCTGCAGCGGGGCTGGCTCAAGTCTTGTTTAAATTGGGCTCCTGTTGGCAGAGACCCTTACTGCAAAGTGGGGGATGAAGACAGAGAGGGACCCTCTAGGGCTCTGAGAATGGAGTGATGGTCCTGGGCACTTCCTGCCTAGGCCCTCTCCCATCTTGGACAAGCTGGGTTAATCCTCAGTCTCATCAGAGGCTTGGAAAGAGAAACAGAATCAAAAACAGACTGAAGAGGACTGTCCCCTTCCAACCTGGGATCACTGACCCCCCCCTCAGAAACCATCCCCACCCCTGCTCTCCACCTGTACAGACCCCCTGCCCCCACATCCAGCCCCAACCCCCTGCCGGGGACTACCTGGCTTTTTCCCTGGCTCAGGCATCTCGAGAGAGGTCACACCCGCACCAAGCAGCACAGGCCACCTAAGGAGGGACTGAGCGGGGTCCTGTCCTTTCTGCTATATATGGGGACCTCCCCCCTCCCCAGCTCTGCTTATCTGCCTCCTGCCCAGCCACCTGCTAAATATAGACAAATTCCAGGGAGCTGAGGTCCCTCTAGGGAGAAGGTAAGGCCATGTCTTCCCTGGTTGGCTTCTGTCCCTCCCCCCCCACCCCCAGTGCAATATGATGGCTTCTGCCTCTTCAACCCTGGGTGAACCTCAGGGATACCCCAATCCCTGTCTGCATGTCCAGCTGACCGCAGACTCTGCAGTGGGCATGTGCAGGGCCTGTAACCCCAGGCTAATGGATCCATGGCACCCTTGCGGTTCATGGTGGTGGCCACAGGCCCTGGACTGCCCTGAGACCTGGCAGCTATTAATTCTGCAGCACCGGGGTTCTCTCATCTGTAATGTGGGGCTGGGAAGAGCAGCACAGGACTGTTACCACATGAGCCAGGTTTAGATATGAAAACGCTAAGCGCTGCCTGGCATGTGGAACACGCTGAGCCGATATTTGCTCTTAGGATTCGGCCCACATTATCGCAGCTCATGAGGCACAGAGCTGGTCTCATGCTGTGGATCTTGGATGGACTTAGTCCAAGGCCAGGCTGGAAGGAGGGAATACGGGGGGGGGGGGGGGGGGCTGGTGTCACTTAAAGGGAAGGGCTGGGGGAGCCTGCAGGTAAGGGCATGCAGGTAAATCTCTAAATATACCCTAAAGTAGAAGACAGAATGAAGTCAGCTCTTGCTAACATCACCAAGGTTAACCAATGATTAATGCCAGAATGTTCTGAATCCCCTCCTCCCACTGTCCATTGTTTCTCTGTGACCTCTTGCCTACTGGGACTGGTGACACCTTTTCCATCACATCAGGGCCATGGATTGCCTCAGAAAGAAGCAAATTATCTGGGACCCCCCCTTTAAACAAAACCCAATATCAGGAAAGATCATTTATCTCCCACCATCAGAAAAGGAATTCCATACACAAGCATTTTCCAGATGATAAAAACTTGCCGTTTCTTTATATATCAAAATCCATTATTTTCTTCCATTTTTAACCATATCACCTGCTTCTGAGCCTTCTTTAAAAGAAGACACTGAACACCATTTTTGCCATGCTGGAGATGAACCCAGGGCCTCACTCATGCTAGGTAAGTGCCCTGCCCCTGAGTCACACCCCAGCCCTCACCTTCTCTTGGGGGCTCTGCAGTCAGGCTGGGAGCACCATGGCTGGGCTGTGATGAGCCTCAGCCCTCCAGGTCTTTCTCCCTAAGCTAATGCTTAATGCTAAGGGTCCTAGGACCTGGATTTTCTGAGGTGTGCAGACAGCTTCTGGAAGTTTCTTCATTCCCAGGCTGTCTGCTGCCACTACCCGCTATTTGCTAAAGCAAGATTCTTCCAAACTCTTTGCTGACTGTGTCTGTTGCGCCTTGCTGTGTGGCGGGAGTCCGCCAGCCAAGTGTTCAGGATAAAGGGCTGCAGAAGGGGGACTTGAATCACCGGCCCAAGGTCTTGCAGGGCTGGAATCTTGTGAGAAGGGGTCTTAGCCTCTGCTCCTGCACAGTGAAGACATCTATTTCCAGATAAGTAAAGCTTCCTACCTCATGGTGGGGCAGACCTGGAGTGGATCCAGCCTGGCCACAAGCCAGCTGTGAGAACTTGGACCAATTATTCCACCTCTGAGAGCCTCAGTGTCCCATTCTATAGAATGGGAGGACACCGGAGTCCTCATCTCAGTACTGCATGACCAGAAAATCCGGTGTTGTTAACATGGTCATCCTTCTCATCGACATCATTTGCACCATATTTAACTCAGAAGATGGTGAATTCAAGCCTCATCGAGGCTTCAAACACCCTCTGGGGTGCAGAAGGCCTTTTACTTTGGTGTACTCTGCTAATAACAATGAAGGTCTTGTTCCAGGCTCAGGCGGTGTGTGTCATTTGTCTGTGTGTCATTTGTCTCTGCGTGCCCAGGGTCCATCACTGGGTAGACACCCAATGGCTAAATGAGGGAACCAGCCATGTCCCTGCTCAAGGGGGAGGGGACAGACAAGGGGCACATTCTGAAAGAGACTCTGTCGCTGCAAGCATGGTGTCTAACAAGACTTTACTTCCTTCCTAAAGGGTGAGGGCGGTGGGAGAAGGTGATGCTTAGAAAGGAGCATCCATCTACAGAAGTGACAAGAGACAGCCCCAAGGAAGCGCCCTGGCCACTGAGCGAGGCCGACCGAAGCCCGGGCGGCCTGCGGGCACCTCGGAGCTGGGGTCCCCTGGGGCAAGCGGGGCTGGAGGGGAGGCGAGGGAGGGTGGCCGCCAGTCCTGCCCTGGCCCCGGGCGTCCTCCCTGTGTCCGGGCCGGCGGGGGGTTAATGCTGTGGCCCGCGGGAGGCCTGGGGGCCCTGCGGGCTCAGTGGGGCGGGTGGCGGCGCTCGGCCAGGCCGCCGCGGCCCAGCACCTCGCCGCTGAACTGGTAGGTGAGCTTCTTCTTGACCTTCTTCACCTCGCCCGTCTTGCCGTAGTTGCGCAGCGCGCGCGCCATCTTCTGGTAGGTCATCTTCTTGCGGTTGCCCTTCTGGATGCCCCAGCGGTGCGCCAGCGCCTCCTTGTGCTTGGACGAGAACTGGAACGTGCCCTTGTCCTTGTCCACCCACCAGATGCTGTCCTTCATGTCCCCGCTGCGAAGCAGATCGAGCAGGAACTGGTACAGGCGGATCTTCTTCTTGCTGCCTGTGGGAGAGGGGCGCGTGGGATGGAGGCCACAGGGGCCCCTCAGGGACCATCCACCCCACCGGGACCGTGTGGCGGGATGGTTCACAGGGGAAGAGCTCCCCCAGCTGCAGGGCGCACACTGGCACACGCACGCACCATGCACACACACGCTCATGCACGTACACAGCACACTTTGGGGAGAGCCCTGTTACACTCGTAACACGTGCTCACAGAGCCCAGGTAGAGACGCTCAGAGACCCTGCAGAACCATCGCACACACACAGCCCTCCAGCCTGATTGCTGGGTTGATCAGCCTCCGCTGGGGTGTAGAAGGGGCAGGGGACAGAGGGCTGGGCCCAGCTGGGTCAGGGCCTGGGGCTGGGCCTTACCTGTTTCCCCGTGCAGAAGGCCAGGCCCGGGCTCCAGGCCATCCGCCTCCCCATCAGAAACCTCCAGTGGAGGGCTCTGCCGCTCGCCCTCCTCCTCATCTGAGCTGGGCTGATGTGGGGACAGGGATGGGTATGGGAGGCACATCCGGGGCAGGTAGGGGACCTGGAAAGGTGGGGCAAGGAGTTGAGGTCAGGAAGGGACAGCTCAGGGCTCAGTAAGAGGAGAGGGAGTGCTGGGAAGCAGGTGGCCACAGGGGCAGGAAGATTAGGGAGGAGGCTGAGAAATTGAAGGCCAGTGGAGGCCACAACCACACAGGGCACAGATCACAGTGACCAGGGGTTACTGACATCCAGCCTACTGCCCTTCCCACCTGGGCCCCCTGGTTCAGGGCAGGTCCCTGGGGAAAGGGCACCTTATTCTCATACACCCAAAGGTGCTGTCTGGCATGACAGTGGCCTTGGGAGAGAAGGGGGATGCCGAGGGGGTTGATCTGGAGCAAATGGGGTTTGATGAGTGAGGGAAGGGGTGGCGGAGGTCACTAGGTCACTGGGGTTACAGCCCCTGGGACAGAGAGGGTTTGGTAAGGCGGTCAGTGGGTGCGGAACGGCCCTGTAGAGGTTCATGACTTGGATATCCGAGGGGCCCATAAATGAGGCCTTGCAGTCTGTGAGGGTCCCCAAGACACAGGACCATGCATGGGGTGGGGAGCCAAAGATGGGGGGGGTTCTGGGATCATCTGGGGTCTGTCCATCTCCAGCGAGAGGAGATAAGGGGTGCAGGCCACGAGGTCAGTCGGGGGGTCAGTGGCAGCCGTTGGGGCTCCGGCCGCCGTTGGCGCGGTGGGGCAGGAAGCCACGTTGAGTAAGAGCCTGTGTCAGCTTCCTGTGAAGCTCCCGGGCCTCACCACAGGCCTGGCGTGGTCCTGAGGACAGAGGACAGCCAGCAGCACGCACCTGGTGGCCGAGGCTGGTGTGGGCCGGCGCCATGGGGGTGTCGAGGACGTGCATCTGCTCCAGCTCCATGTGGCGATAGAGCTGCTGCAACTGCGGGGGCTGCACGCTCTGCAGCTCGGTGAAGTGGTTCTCGGGGAAGCTCTCGAACTCGCTGTGCACGTGGTGAGGGTGGAAGTCCCAGTAGTGGTCTGTGGGGGGACAGGCCATCAGTGAGCGCCGGCGGGCAGGGCGGGGGAAGTGCCAGCAACAGAAACAGCCATGTGGGGCCACAGGGGGCTCGCTCCGCATCCAGACTGCAGGGCTCCCTCACTGATGCTCCTGTCTCCTACTCCTGCTTTATAGGGAGGACCCTGAGGCTCTGAGGCTACGAGACATGCCCAAGGTCAAGGGCAGCATCCATGGCAGAGCCAGAATCCAGGCCTGAAGCAAAGCCCTTGTGCTCAGCACCCACTTTCTCCTGCCTCCTGTGCAGTCACAGGGATGCAGGCTTCTGGTCCCCAAGTCTGAGTCCTGACTCTGCCACTGACAGAGTGAGACTTCAGGCACAGCCTGGGCCCCTCTGGCCGTAAATGAGGGTCATTGTTCTGGGGAGGGTTCAAAGGAGAACTCATCTGTAAAAATTCCTAGCCTCTGGCCTCTGATTCCCTTCCCCCACCTCAGACCTCCCTGTTCCTGAGGTCCCTGGCACAGGACCTTGTCACATGGCCAAGGTGTGACGGCCAAGTCACAGGGCTGACCTTCCTCACACTTCCAGAGCTTGTCCAGACCCGCAGTCCTGCTCCTCCAAGCCCTGGCCTGAGTACTGTTCCAGGGAGGGGGCAGCGCCGCAGGTGTCCCTGGGAAGCCCCGGTGGCTGGCTGGAGTCTGGGGAACAGCCACACACACCCACAGCCCGTCTCGGGGCCAGGGCAGGTCTTCAGCATGGTTTCTCTGGGCACCTTTTCCAGGAACAAAAACTGCCCACGTCTGAGGGACTTCCTGAGCAGCGTTTGGTCCGAAAGAAAGTGGGGTGTAGAGACGGGATGGATTTGTTCATGGGCACAAAGAAGGAGTGTACGAGAAGCCAGTCTGGGCAGTGTCTTTGGGACGTCCACTAACAACCGTGTGTGTGTGTGTGTGTGTGTGTGTGTGTGTGAGAGAGAGAGAGAGAGAGACTCATGAACATGCAGTTGTACACACATGGCTGTCATCCGCCTGCATTCCCTCTCCCTCTCCCTCCTTCACAGGAACTCATGCACTCCGAATCCCTAAGAAATCAAGTGTGATGCTCAGCCCAGTGGCCCATGCCTGTGATCCCAGCGACCCAGGAGGCTGAGGCAGGAGGATTGTACATACTAGGCCAGCCTCCAAAATTTAGGGAAACCCTGTCTCAAAAAATAAAAAGGGCTGGGGATATAGCTTAGTGGATTCAATCCCCAGATCTCTAGTATTAAAAAGGAAGGAAAGGAAGGAAAGAAGGAAGGAAGAAGAAAAGAAATGATTTCTTTTCTTTTTTTTTAGCTCTCTACCAAATATCTGAGGATTTGCTTTCTAATCCTGCTAAGTGGTGGCTTTGCTGTGTGACCTCGGACAAGATCTTTCTCCCCCTGAGCCTGATACCCCATTTGGAAAGTCAGAGATGCAAGTGGATAGTGACCGAGGTCCTGTGCACGTGTGAAGTTGTGCGAGCCCACAACCCAGACAGCCCAGCCCTGCCTCTAGGAGACTGGAAAAGAGAAAGCCCACGATTTCAGGCAGAGCTGGTTCAAATCCTCACCGTGCCTGCGGCTAATGCCTACAAAGTGCCCAGAACAGAACCAGGTGCAAAGTAAGACTCACTCGGCATGAACCACTATCAGCATCATTGTATTAATATTTTATTCTAAAGAGCCGACATTAGAACCAGGTGTGTGGGGCCCCTCTGTAGTGCCAGCATTTGGGAGGCAGGGGAGGGAAGGTCACTTGAAGCCAGGTGTTAAGATCAGCCTGGGTAACACAGGGAGACTCCCAGACACGCCCCCCCAAAAAGCTTGCATTATCTTTTGAACATGCAGTACTAGGGACTGGGGACCGAACCTAGGGGTGCTCCACCAGTGAGCAATCCAGCCCCTCTTAGTTTTTGAGCCAGAGTCTCACTAAATTGCCAAGGCTGGCCTAGAACTTGTGATCCCCCTGCCTCAGTAGTGGGGTGACAGGTATGTACCACCACACCTGGTTTACAGCTGTCATTCTTTTTTATGGGGGGAGGGGGGTATTTGTTTGTTTGTTTGTTTGGTGCTGTGGATTGAACCCAAGTGCACTTTACCACTGAGCTTACTCCCCAGCCCTTATTATTTTTTATTTTCAGACAGGATCTCACTGAATTGCTTAGGACCTCATTCAGTTGTTGAATGTGGCCTCAAACTGGCCATCCTCCTGTCTCAGCCTCCCGAGTTGCTGGGATGACAGGTATGCACCATGCTCAACTCAGTAGCCACTTTATTTTGTTTATTTATTTATTAATTTTAGTACCAGGGATTGAACCCAAGGGCACTTAACCACTGAGCCACAATCCCCTTTTTATTTTTATTTTTTTTATTTTGAGACAGGGTCTCACTAGGTTGCTTACAGCCTCGCTAAATTGTTTGAGACTGACTTTGAAACTGTGATCCTCCTTCCTCAGCCTCCTGAGCCACTAGGATTATTAGGCATGCATCCTGGAGCCTGGCTCAGCAGCCACTTTTAAAATGTTCATTTCCTCATCTCCCTGCTCCCTGCCACCTTAGTGCCCCAGAGAAACAGCTTTTGGGGGACCTGTCACTTTTCCCCAGAGCCTGAAGTTGGAGCGCCAGTGTTTTCAGGGACTGATTTTGTTCCCCTCTGGGTTCCTGGTGCCTAATCATAGCAGACATAAACAGCCATGTCCTGAGCAGATGAGCAAATGAACAAAAGAATCTTGGTTTCTGAATAACTCTTTCTACAAAGTTATGTAAACCTGAAAGGAAAAACAAACTTGGTGACTCACACGTGTAATCCCAGCCCTTTAGGAGGCTGAGGCAGGGGGATTACAAATTTGAGGTCAGCCTCAGACACTTAGAAAGACCCTGTCTCAAAATTTAAAGATAAAATAAAAAGGGCTGGGGACGTAGCACAGAGGTATAGCACAGTCCACAGCCCTTTCTATTTTATAACAAGGGAGACAAAGGCATGAGGAAGGTTTCAAAAGTCCCAACAGAAACCTGGCCTTTGGCCCTGGTTTGATGCTCAGGAGATTAGGGCCAGAGTGCCCAGGGTACAGGCTTTGGGCCTCCCTCCAAAGCCCGCACCCTGGGCACTCTGGCCTTACATCTGGACACCCTTCATGATGGCAGTGCTCTATCCTTTCTGTCCCTTCACTGGGTCACCCAGGTGATCTCATTTAATCCTCACCCCAACTCTGAGGAGGTGGCCACCATAGTATGATCTCCCTTTTGTCGGCTTGGAGACTGTGACAAGTACGTCCTTTGTCTACAGTACTCACTGGTGGAGTCGGGCTCCAAACCCACTTGCATGTAACTTCAGGGACAGAGCTCTCAGCACCATACCACATCCCCTCGGAGGAGCTAGACTGAGAGTGTTAAGACCTGGGGTGACACTTAATGAAAGCTCTCAGTAAAACCTGGGATGGCCCCTGAGAGACTCCCGTACCAGGGATTGAACCTAGGAACGCTTAACCACCAAGCCCCATCCCAGCGCTTTTTATGTTTTATTTTGAGACAGGGTCTCACTAAGTTGCTTAGGGCCTTTCCAAGTTTCTGGGACTGGCTTTAAACTTGTGATCCTCCTGAGCTGCTGGGATTACAGGCGTGTGCCAACGTGCCCAGCAGCTGACTGCTTTTATCCATCTGTCCACCATTACCCCACCCATCATCCACCATCCATTGTCTATCCATCCATCACTCATCATCTGTCCGTCCATCCATCATTAAACCACCATCCATCCATCCATCATCTACCCATCAATCATCCATCATTCACCCAGACAGCCAGAAATAACTCACTCGCCTTGATCACTCATTTCCTCCCTTTAAACCAGCTCTCAACCTGGGGCCAAAGTCCTGCCCATACATTCCAATTCTTACTCATTTGTAACCAGGACAAAAATAGAGTGAGATTCAAAACAACTCCAGGCAGAAATTCAGCCTTAAGAGTCATTCAGTTGACCTTATCTCCCCAGAACAGAAAGCTCAGCCTCAAACCCAGGGCTCTACCCAGGAGAACAGAAGTACAACAAAAACTGAGGAGAAAGATGAGGAATCAAGAGAGGAGGAGACAAGGAAAAAACCCTTCGCAGGAAAACATAGGCCATTGGACATAGGTGGCTGGAGCCCAGCCTTCCCTGGAAATTGTTCAGATGTGGAAACTGAGGCCCAGAGAACTGCCCGTCTCAGAGCACTTGCTACTCTCTACCTTGTATCCTAATTATGAGAGTTTTAATTATTTCCCCTCTTATAACACTGAATCCAGTAGGACCTGTGTCCTTCAGCATCCAGCAATGCACCTGGCATGTAAAATAGAATATTTATTAGAGAGCTCAGTGCAAGATGGATGGAAGGTTTGGTAGGTGGAGGGAAGGACAGCTGGAAGGAGGGATGAGTGGATGATTAGATGAGTGTGTGAACAAATTGGTGAATCATAGATGGTTTGTGGTATGAAGTAGGCAGACATCTGGGTGGATGGGTAGATGGATGGTTGGATGAGTGGATGGATAGATGGGTGGGTGGATGGGTGGATGGATGGATGGGTGGATGGATGGATGGGTAGATGGGTGGATGGATGGGTGGATGGATGGATGGGTAGATGGGTGGATGGGTGGATGGATGGATGGGTAGATGGGTGGATGGATGGGTGGATGGATGGATGGGTAGATGGGTGGATGGGTGGATGGGTGGATGGATGGATGGATGGATGGGTGGATGGGTGGATGGATGGATGGGTGGATGGGTGGATGGGTGGATGGGTGGATGGATGAATTTATGGGTGGATGGAGAGAAAGAGCCATACTTTGGAACTCTTTCCTTCACGAGTCCCATCGCAAGCAGCAAATTCAGTCACATCCATTAGGATGACTACTACGAAAACCAAACCAACAGAAAATGACAAGTGTTGGTGAAGATGTGAAAAAAATTAGAATCTTTGCACACCAATGGTAGGAATGTAAACACGGTGCAGCCCCTGTGGGGATGAGTAT